GTCGAGTGGTACCCAGTTGTTGTTTTCCTTCGAGGAACCAACCAACCAACCACTCACCCAACCACCCACCCAACCAACCAACCAACCAGCCAACGAACCAACCAACCAACCACCCACCCAACCACCCAACCAACCAACCAACCAGCCAACGAACCAACCAACCAACCAGCCAGCCAGCCAGCCAGCCAGCCAGCCAACGAACCAACCAACCGACCGACCGACCGACCGACCAACCAGCCAACGAACCAACCAACCAACGCAACCAACCAACCAACCAACCAACCAACCAACCAACCAACCAACCAACCAACCAACCAACCAACCAACCAAACCAACCAACCAACCAACCAACCAACCAACCAACCAACCAACCAACCAACCAACCAACCAACCAACCAACCAACCAACCAAACCAACCAACCAACCAACCAACCAACCAAGCCAACCAACCAACCAACCAACCAACCAACCAACCAACCAACCATCCAACGAACCAACCAACCAACCAACCAACCAACCAACCAACCAACCAACCACCACCAACCAACCAACCAACCACCAACGAACCAACCAACCAACCAACCAACCAGCCAGCCAGCCAGCCAACCAAGCCAAGCAAGCAAGCAACCCACCCCACCCCACCCCACCCCACCCCACCCCACCCCACCCCACCCCACCCCACCCCACCCCACCCCACCCCACCCCACCCCACCCCACCCCACCCCACCCCACCCCACCCCACCCCACCCCACCCCACCTCACCCAACCCCACCCCACCTCACCCAACCAACAACGGGCTTTCCCAAAAGCCAAAACACACACGTTGCCTTCCCATTTGGACTTCCGAGCTTCGGGGCGAGGCAGTGGAGGCGTACAACCTCATCAAGGACTTGGAGCCCTCCATGCCCAGGGAGTGACCCGAACCCACCGAGAGAAACCGACCCCGCTGACCCCGCCCGCCACTGTTCGAGCCCGGAGGGCGGGAAACCCTCGCCTAAGGCGCTCGGCGTCTATTCAGAAAGGGCTCTTGAGGCCTTTGAAGGGATCTCTTTCATGAGCCTCGGGCCAACTCTGAGAAATGGAGCCTTGATTTGGAGGAACGGCGATGTGTCCAGAGTTGGTTCACATCAGACAGAAACACACACACACACACACAAAAAAAAAAAAAACAACAACAAGAAAAACGAAAACCGGGGGTGGTGTTGTTGGTTCAGGGTGTTTGAGGGTCTTCTTTATTTGAAAGTTCACGGCAGACCTGCTGTTTGAGCCTTCGTGGGAAAGTATTTGTTCAAAGGGTCGGCTGAAAGGTTGGGGTGTTGGAATGAAGTGGAGACCAGCGGCAAAGGAGTGCTTATTCAGGCATTAGTTGGTGGCTTGGATTGCTGGGGGTGTTTACCACAGGTCAAACCACCAATCGGAGAAGCTGCTAAATTGAATTTTAGGATGCCAGCTGGCCCGTGCTCTGATGTTTGAGAGCTAGTTTCTTTGCAGGGGAACGGTGGCCATAACATGGCCATGGCCATAAAATGGCCACCAGTCCGCTCCGCTTGTTTTCTTCCGGAGGGGGGTCGTTTTTGGAGGTACCGCTTTTCTCATGGTAAAGGGAAACCAAAAGGATAACGTTGCCCCGCGCCATTTATTTTTTTGTTTGGGGGGGTGTACCATAAAACCGACTAGGTCCCCCGGTAGTGCCCTTTTACCATTTTTTTGGGGAGGGTTCCCCTACTAAAATAGACTACAGAAACAAGTTGGTACCCTTATGCTGACCTCTCTACTGGAGGACCTAGTTTACCTTGCGCCATTTCTGACTCATGATGCGCCTTCTCCTGGCGAAGTTCGCGGGTCTCTTATTAGGCGTTTTGGTCTGTAGGGGACCCACATGGCGCGAAAAACGCCGTTCCAAATGGCGGATTTCCCTTTAAACCGAGCCCAAGGGTCGCTCGCCCCCTGTACATGGAACCCAGAGGGTCCCTAAAAGAAGACAGGGTCTTGGCATTGGGGGTATTGGCATTGGGATCTACCAACTCCTCTCCGCATGGTACCCACCAAAGGCTGACCTTGAACGGAAAATCGTCCAGAACCCCCCCCCCCCCCGAAAAAAAAAAAAAAAGAGCGTCAGGTTCTATGTTCGTCTCACTTCCTGAGTGCCTGGACTTGAAGCTTCTTGGGGCGCCGTTTTAATACTAAATAACAGTAATGATGATATTAATAAAGCACAGTAATAATAATACAATCATACTTTTTTGGTACTAAACAAAAGAAGCCCGACTTTTTTTGGCCAATCCACTCAGGAAGTGAGTAGTGGAGACCCCTAAAAAAAGGGAGAGGCCCAATTGAGACGCTTGGAAGGTACATCCTCAAGGGCGTGGTCTTTGCTGCCCTGGGTCAGGCCACCAACTCTCGCGAGCACCTCAAGTTGGCACAGCACCTTGGGCTGTTTGTGTTATTTTTAGATAAGACTAGCTTCCATTTGCTGAAATGCACACCTTTTTTTAATTTTCCCCTTTTGGTTTGAAAGGGAATCCATTTCACTACTGTTATATATATAAACCAAAAAAAAGGGAGTGAACAAGCAAATGCGGGCTAGTGGAGAAATTGGGGGGTGCATCCATATTCCGTTTCGGGCCCACAGATTTGACCACGGCCAACCTTCTCCTGTTGTTTTTTTGTTTGGGGGGGGGAGGGGGTCTTTCAAGGCGACCTTTCACCATCCGTTTTTGGGACATGACAGAGGCTTCAGGTAAAGAAGGACCAGACGATGGTGTCATTCTATGTTATTATGATATAGGGGGGTTGATCCATATTCCATTTATGGCCCCCAGTTTTGACCATGGGTAAAGCTTTTCCCAGGGTTTTCCCATGTAAAGGACCTTCTGATCAGCCCCCAAATGTCCGGTCCCCCAAGTGGCTTCAGGGGGGTGGGTTTACATGGCTTGATGTTCAGAGCGCATGCCATGCCGTACCCATCCAGCGGCACGTGAAGTTGTATTGGGGCAGTGGCTCGGCTACTTCAGACCCCCTCGGTTCAGGTTGGACGAAACTACCAAACATATTGGGTCCAACAGACCCCCAGGCCGACAATGACACCCAAAAGCTCTCTAAAAGCTGCAGGACTCTGAATTTCTCGGGTCCGGGAAGCAAAACATCGTTCTTCCAGGGTGTTTCCCTTTTTGGAACCTCCAGTGGCGATGGCTTGAATGAAAATCATGAATTTGCAAGGTGAAACTCCGTGGAGGATGGTTCCCTAAGTTCTTGTGGTTTTAACTGCACCCTGCTTTGGTTGATAGATGTCCTGTTGACTGGCTGGTGAGAAATAGATGGGTTCCTTTGCTTTAGATTGATCGATGTTTCCAGTTTAGGTTACCTACTGTGGCTGGACAAAATCCTACACCACCTAAGAAACCATGGTTGAAAAAACCATTGCGTGTTGGCCTTGTTGGTAGTTCCGTTGGGGAATCGAAACTGAATCCAGCGTTTAACCGTCCACAGTAGGGAAACACATAGTTCCCACTGGTTGAAATATGATTGGTTGTATACCATCCATCTACCAGGGAAAACCTTCTCTTTTGATTTTACCAGGTTTACCAAAAGGATACCGGGATAGAGAAGTAGATGGGTTCCACTGGGCTTTTAGCTGCAGTGTTTTCACATTTTCCGGGGGAGACCATTTTGTTGCCATGTTTACCGAAAGAAAAAACAGATACCTGGGTTAGATTCGCTGTTTTTTTCGCGTTTTCCCGGGGGAAACCCGGGCCCTTGTTTTTGTTTGTGTTTTTTTGTTGTTGGTCACCAAAAAATAAGCTCAGGTGATATCCTCAACAGCCTGCGGTGCTCTTTTTAAAGCTCGCACCACCCCGGAGCCTATCTGGGCTGAGACCCCAAAGCTTTCAGCTGTTGGGGAAAATTGGTTGTTGGTCACCCACAAATGTTGGTTTCCGTTTTCCCAGGGGAAACCCCTTGTTTTTTCTTTTGTTGTTCCGTTTTTCTCCCCGTGTTTTTTTGCTGTTGGTCACCCAAATTTAAAAAAGAAAATCAAGAAATAATTGTTTTACCCACCTCAAGCCTGTGGCCACAAACATCTCTTAATGCTGTTGGTCACCAAAAAAGAATTGGGGTTTCGCTTTCGGCAGGCAGCTCTTTCAGCTGGTGGGCGCCTCCGCCTCCGAGTGCGACACCATCCCAGGCCAAAGTTTTCACTCGCTCGACGGGCCGACGGCGGGGCGTTTTTTTTTGGGGGGGCGCCCGAAGAAGCGGCCTTTCAGCCATTGCTGCGATCTTTTAGCGGTCCTTTTTTGGGGGGAGGGAAAGCCCCTACTAAAATAGACTACAGAAAAAGGGGTACCCTTGTTCGAACCTTTCTACTGGAGGACCTGGTTTTTAAGGTTTTTCAGTTCTGGACAGGAATAGGAATATGGGACCCATCTCGGAGAGAATTGCTTACCAGTTGTGAACTGAAAGGCAAGATGGTGAGTTTTCGGCAAACGGGGGGGTGGGGATATTGTTTTGTTGCTTATATATATATATAGATATATTATACACGTATATTCAAGCATACATGCGGGTAATGCACATTATATATATATATATATATTATAATACACATACATGTTCCAACACGCTGCGCATGTGTGTGTGTGTGTGGCAAGAAAGACGCAAACCCGTTTCACCATGCCATTCTGTCACGGGCATGATTCTAACAAACGCCGACGCTGGCCCAAAGGATTTCCCAGGCTTGCCTCTCAAGCTTGGGGCTTCCGAGCGGTCCGGTTCGTGCTCAGCGAGCGGCCGGTTTTTTTTGCCTTGAAACCGGCAAAGTGTGGCGTAGTTTGGTTGCTGTGCCTTGAATCTTTCAACTGTTTCCGGAGCTTGCAAGCAGTATTTAAAGGCACGTTTCTCAAAAACCAGCTGCTTCTCGGCCGGAATGCCAAGCACGTGTCTTGCAAGTGTTGGGCTCCAAGTTGACGGTTGCACAGGTTGACCACGTGCCAGGTCGACAATGCATGGCCTCCTGCTTCTTCCTTCTGCGGCAATTCGAGGATGTGCTGGTTTATCTGAAGTCCATCAAGGCCTATTTCAGCAACGATGACGACTTCAATTGGAACTATGGCCTGGCCTGTGCTGCCGCGGGGGATTACCGGGAAGCAAAGGATGCGCTTCTGCAGATGCTCGGAGGCGGTTTTCAGTTAAAGCCAATAGTGGATTCGTCTACATGGTTTTTCTGTTTTTCTTCATCATTTACTACAAGGACAGGAGACCGTGTAGCCCTTAAGTGGACGATGTTGGTTCCTTTCTTCAGTTACAGGGCGCCTGGAATTGACACGGAACCAGGACTGATGCCACAAGGGGAGCTTGCTGAAGGATGGGAGAGCATGGTTGTTCTAAGTCAGTTTGGAAAATACATGACTTCCACTGGTTTCACTGAGGTGCACATGACCTGATCAATTTATCCACACACACTGGCGAGTGCTCGCGAGAATGCTTGGGGCCTGATGACAATCTAGCGCACAGCGGATTGAATCTTAGGATTCAGAACGAGAAGTACCGGTCTGAGTTCTGCTATTTGAGCTTCTCGGCAGATATATGTACATATATGTGTATATTATATATATACATATTACTGTCCGCATACGCACAGTGAGACATACATATGCACACACTTGTTCATACATATATATATATACACATACATATACATATCAATGCGCCACATACATACATACATACATACATACATACATACATACATACATACATACATACATACATACATACATACATACATACATACATACACACCTGCCCACCTACCTACCTACCTACCTACCTACCTACCTACCTACATACCTACCTACATACCTACATACATACATACCTGCCCACCTACCTACCATACCTATATACCTACATACCTACATACCTCCATACCTACATACCTACATACCTGTATATATATATATATTAACTACACACACACATCTATTCTGCCATGCATGGTGCAAGACCTTGGACCAGTAATCAGCTTGCAGCCAAATTCTGGGATCAAGAAAGGTTTCGGGTCGTGCGCGACTGGCTGGGCTGCAAGCGATGAGCCTGGTGTCAAGCCTTTCGATTGAGAGCACTGTTTGCCAGGAGAAGATTCGAGCTGTGCCATTGAGCGTTTGCTTGTCTGGCTTTGGGAGACACTTCCGGACGGCAAACGGGGGTGCGTACTCAGCCGGTGACGACAACTTCAAGCTCAGCCGAATAACCGAACGGATTGATGATTTTCTGAGCCATGATTGGCAGACTTGCAGGTTTGATAAGACCCTGTGTTTAATGCTGGCTTTTAACTTCCAAGCTGCTGCCATCGTAGCGACGATTGTGAGTCTTCTCTGCGGTGTCGCCCGCATCTATGGCCTACTGACCAATCACTGGTCAACTATCTTCCTCGGCTATGCAAGCTTTGCTCTGACCCTTTGTATTTGGCAACGGATCCGGGTTCTCTTCGGCAAATCCCGCTTGGTGTTCCTGGATTGCCTTTGCATCCCCCAACACGATGAACAATTGAAGCGAGAAGGCCAGGCTGGGAATTCCGTCGGGGCTGCAAGCAAGTCTTTCAGCATCCCCCCTCCTTAAAATAGAAATCAGGGGGGGGACGTGAAGTTCCATTTTCCAATTTCATTCTTTGGTATGGCTTGAGGTTGGCCCCATATGGCTGTGGGTCAAAACCAATGGTACCATTTTGGGGTAGGTGAATTCACCACCCATTTTAGAACCCATTTTAGTGGTTGGATTGGGATGTTTACTGGGGGCTAGCCGATTTGGCTTTCGACCCATATGGGTTGCTCTAGGCATCTTGAACCTGCTGGGCCTCTTGGCTGCCTCCGAGCAGCTGACCATCCTCTGGTCGCGGAACTGGATCTCGCGGCTCTGGTGCGTCTTCGAGCTGGCCGCCTTCCTGCGCGCGGAGAATGGGCGGAATCGGAAGCCCATCCAGCTGCTGCCGGTGAAGATGGGCAGCGTGGTGATGCTGCAATCGGTGAGCTGGACACTGCTCACGGTGAGCTATACATTGGTCAAGGACAGGGGTTTTGAAGGGGCCCCTAAGAGGAAATGAGAAAAAATGACAGGGCTTTTAAGAGGAAATGGAGACCAAATGGGTCTGAATTTTAAATGGGGACCCTTTGGTGGATGTCATTTAGGGGATCCAAATGTTGCCCCTTCCGGCCTTTCATATTGTATTTCTATAGATTGATTATTAACAATATGAAAATGAACCAGGAAATGCAAATAATAAATCTAATAAAAGCATTTGTCCATGATATTCACCCTTCCTTTCCTTACACCTCCAAGCCTCTATTCTATGGCTTGGTGAGGTGAAGGAAATAGATGCAAACATATTTTTTCCTTGTCAAGCCACTTTTCTATGGATTTATTATTAACAATATGAAAATAAATAAATAGTAATAAAAAGAGAAATAAACAAAAGAATCCTTAAAGAAAACCAATAATAATATAACCAAATGAAAAGACAAATGAGATACAGATAAGAAGATAATAATAGTTACATGTCAAGATACGACCATAAGATAGAAAGTTGTCTACAGGAAATTGACCACCTATCCAAATAAAAGAAAAACGATTCAGAAACCAAAAGCACAGATAAAAACCATTAAATCTACTAGATGTAAATATTATGAAATAGAATGAACAAGAGAGACTTCTCATAAAGTAAAATAAGATGAAGATAGAAGTAAATAAGAAAATGAATCCTGCATTTTTATTTGGCACAGCTTTTAACATAGCATATTGGCATAAGAAATGCCATTCAGGTACTATATGTAAAGGAGTTAGAAATCCACATGCTTCTAATGCATTATCTGGATGTGAGAAAGAAGAGAACCCTTTTCTACTGGTCGAATGGGAGCAGCTCAGGAGGTGACAGAGGCAGACATTGAGGATGGTGTGGAGAGCGATGAGAATGCCAATAGCATTCTCTTGCAACTTGCTCTTCTGGTGGTGGTCTTTGGTGCCATTGTGCTGTTTCTCCTTCCATCCTTCCTCTATATCGGACTCGGGCCACTCGCCCCAAGCTTTGTTTTCTATCCAGGATTTTCGGCTTGCTGTTGCTGGGAAAGGATTAGCCCCTCTGTCCCCACCCCACACTTCAGCCATAAGGATTACACAAGAGCTGAGCAAGCTGAATGCCCAGCTGCTGGAATTCCGAGTGCAAGATGTCGAGTGCTTCTGTTGTTCGCACGGTCATCGCCACCCCGTCACGGGGGAAGCACTGGCATGTGATCGGGAGTTGGTGCACGGTATGCTGCGGAAGTGGTTCTCTTCTTCAGCGCAGTCTTACTTGGACACATTCAACGCACTAGTTCAAGCAGAGCTGTCGTCTCGTGTGAACCATTTGGCGATCAGCAAAATCTTGCCGACCAGCTATGTCCTGTATGCAGCGAATGCTTGCAATATGCCATGGCTCATAGATTTCATTCCATGGTGGGCAAGCTCAGAATTGACAGGAACCGCTTGGTCGCTTTGGTTTCTGCGCGGGTTTTTGCTTTGGTCGCTCAACACCGTCGTCATGATAGCAATGATGCGGATTGCTGTCATCTTGTCGAAGTGCTTTGTGGCTTATGAAAGTCGCAGAGCCAGAATCCTGAGTACTCTGATGCAGGTCCCAATTATGCAACGTGGATTGCATTGATGTGCATGGTGTGTGTTCAGTCTTGCGTGCAATGTCCAAGCCAAATCAGGCCGGAAGCGAGCACAGCCCAGGTTTGGCGTTTTCCTCTTGCTGTGGTTGCCGTTCAGAGTCACGTACGTGGTGGCCTTAGTGTTGCGATGGGAGGTGTTCGATTGCTCCCGAAGGGCCTCTTGCGGTGCCCCTTTTGCATCCACGAAGCCGATCAACCCTCGCACGAGAGGGTGTGAAGCCTGGCTGTTTGGATCGGACGAAAACAACCAGCCTCCAAGCCCTAGATTTTTATTTGTTTTCCTTAGATTTGTTTTTTTTTTTCGGTTTTTACCAAGAAAAACGAGCACTCCGTGGGGGAACTCTGACCTAACTGCCGGGCATCGATTCCACGACTCCAGGTCATGACGGATGATCTCAGCCTCCTGCCCGGCATCCCCTACGCCGCCGTGCTGGGCTTCACTGTCTACCTCTTCAACCGAAAGTCCTTGGTGGAAGAGAAGGCGAAGGCGAAGGAGTCACATGGAGCAAGAGCCCTGCTTCTTGTGGCTTTTTTTTTTTTTTTAGTCATATGCGGAGAAATACCCTCCCTTCCACTAACATGGCACCTCTGGGAGGGTACCTGGAAGATTGGTTTCCTCTTCAAGGGACCCCATGTCTGGTGCTACGTTAGTTGGAGGAGGGGTACTTCCATTTGCTGAAAAGGAGATATTGTGTTTTCGATTGTTGGCTAAGTTTTAAAGGGACTCTATCACTTCTGGAACTTCCTTTTTTTTTGCGGGGTGCTTAATCTTTTTTTCAGAATATGCGTGGTGCTGCAAAGCGCTTCCGAGCTTCCCTTGCCATGTGAATGAAATAATTGTCCAATTTGCAATTAATTTTGTCTCAACAGTTGGGGAACCCCCAAAATGAGTGGTTTCCAATTTTGGTTTCCGTTTGCAACCAACCAGAACAGGGTAGCCTCAAAAACAAGACGCACTTGCGTACCACGCTTAGGTTTAGGTTCCAATTGGATCACGTCCAATCGGATGATGAAGCAGCGCTGGGGCCGATTGCAGAGAAACTGGGCTGCAGGGAGAGCTGGTTTGCTCAGGCTCTGCCAGAGTTTCCAAGGTGTAGGCTACTTTCAGTGGGGTGATATATTTCAGATGGGAAATATGGGAAGCACATACTAGAGCTACAGAATCGAGTTCACCAGGAGACAGAACAGGGGTGGAATTTGTTTAAATACTGTGGATGAACCAAATCCTTCACCACCTAAGAAGCCATGGAAACCATAACGTTTGTGGGGGTATTTCTGGTATTTACAGGGTCATCGAAAATCATTCCAGGGTTTCCGAAGGTGCGAAATGGATTTCGCAAACATCCGCATTGCTTGACTTCCGTTGGCTTCCCAATGGCTAGGAGAGAGTTGTCGATTTCCTCGCGCGCCTCACGAGCTTCCGTCGAGCAGCTCGAGGACACAGCCTCGGCAGCCTCGGGAGCCTTGGGAGCCCGAAGCAGCGATGCGACCATTACGGCGGTGTTTTGACAAGTCAATGCAGAATTCACGGGTGTGCTCTGATCCCTCTGCGGCATGCCTGCTTCAGGCACTTGTGTTTGCTGGCACTGGGTACTCCAAAATGGTTGCTTCGCAGCGATATATATATATATAATTGTTTCTGAGTAACCCTGCGTTTGTGCGAATGAACCGCTTACCAACCGCATCCAGACAACTTGACTAACCCAGTCGTCAGAGACCTCCTGCCTATGCATTCGGGAAGTGTGTAGGACAAGAGTTGCGCCAACCAAGTTTGCGCAGTGAGGGTCTCACAGCTGGCACGGAGGCCACCAATAATTATTCGCTCTCCTAGGGAGTCGTCACTCTCCTACAGGAGTTTCCCGCTCCTTAAGGGAGTAATCAAGATTGCTTTTCGGGTTATTTTTTCGGCTAGCCAGGCTTGCCTTGCTGAAAGCTCGCGCGGCCAAGCTAACAGTCAATCCGGAGAAAAGGCAGCGCTTATCGGGTGCAAGCCCAGTTGTTCCAAGCTCAAAGTGATGAATCCCCACTAAAAGGGGGCACCCCCTATGAATCAACCAGGGGTTTATTAATCCGGGGTTAACATTAGTTGCCACTTTTGGAAGGGCATACATCCTCCTGGTGATGGAAAAGGGGGAAATATAGAAGCCCCCCTGTTCTTGGCACGGCGGAAGATGTCCGTTCCTACGCGCTGGCTTTTGGGCACTGTTGAGAGGGCAAGTCAGCAGTTGGTGGCTTGGGAGGCAAAAGCGAGGTTTTGCACATGGGGCAAAACGCGGCATTGGAGGGCGGGAGGGTGTTTTGCCAAGTTGATCTTGCGGAGCAGCCAGAAAGCTGCCAGAATTTCTTGGCACAGGTGTCTTGCTTTGTTTTTGTTGTCCCTGGTTATTGAAGGGAAACCAAAGTTGGGTATGGGTCAAAATTAAACCACAAGGGGATCGCAGGTTTTGATCCATGTTTCCACTTACCAGGGTTCCATTTTGGGCACATATTTTTTGACCCACAGCCAGTTGGAAAAAGGGTGAATCATGCACAATGATCTTAAAGAGGTTCTGAAGGGAAGGCGAATTGTTTAGTTTGGTTTGTTTTTTGGGCTGGGGCTCCAACAAGAAGACAAGCCACCCATGTCATGTTCTTCCATTTGGCTAAGAATATGTTTTATTGCCCCTTGTTGGTTTTAACGGCATCGATTTCACTACTGTAAATATGTTTTTGTTCCTTTTCAGGTTTCAATTGACCAGTTCTCAGCTTCCCTCTAATTGGTGGTTTGGAGCCCTGCAGTTTGGTGGTGAAACGGAGGGGTTTCCCATTTACCCACCAAAACACCAATCTTGCTGGTGCTTAGTATGGAATGAACCTGGCGGGCCCCCTTAAAGAAAACCACCCATTGGATGGTTTCACTCCATGTCTCATTCCCTGAGCACCAGCAAGATTTGGGGTGACCTGAAGTTAGGCTGGCTGACCCGGTGCCACATCATGAGCAACGAGCCGGCGAGGGCTTGGGAAGCCTATGTCCGCATGGACACCAGCAACGAGTCCTTCAACCTGCTTCATCTCATTGCCGGCTGGCCTTAGTTAAAAGAGTCTCATGCCAAAGTCGAGAGACCGAACACCCATACGGAGCTCTACCAAAAACACGAGGGGGAAAAACTATGCTTTGGGGGGTGGAGTTTATCTGAAATATTCGAAGGTATTTTCATACGTGGCATGTCTTGGCTTTGTTCTCATGGAAAATGTGGGAGCACATGGGTGGTTACTTCGGAAGCACAGAGCCCTGACACAAAGTTCAAAGCTAAAAGCCGAGGAAGGAAACAAGTCAACTATGTCCGGTAGTGTCCTTCTCTCCCCTGTTTTGGGGGTCCCCTACTAAAATAGACTACAGAAAAAAATGGTACCCTTATTCTAACCACTCTACTGGAGGACCTAGTCAATGAAAGCAAGGGCAATCGATTGCTGGTAGTTGGCGGCTGGGAAGAGACTTGTCCCGCCGGGGTTCCAGCTTATCTTCTGGAGAGTTGGATCCGAAGGCGAACGACTGCTACAAGATGGGGCAGTTCTACTACGCGTGCAAGGCTTCGAATTGGAAGCCGACCGATTGGGAACGCGAGAAGCCATGAAGGCTCTCTACAAAGGGATTTCTTTCCCCCAACTGAAAGCTCTGGGACCGATTGCAAGCTCGCTACAAAGGGATTGTGTTTGTCAGCTGAAAGCTATGGATTTGGTCTCCCAGGCGAAGGGGTGGTTTGGGCCAGCTGTCAGGGGAGAGCTTATTTTGCGTCATCAGAATATTTCACACCACAGAAATTGGTCCTAAGGCAATGTCCTTCATTTTAGGAGGTTGCAGGATTTTTCCAAGCATTGTGCTTTGCTTCGCACAAAAGTCGGTTCTGCTCGGTGATGCCAGTGATGTGCTTGCTGGTGATGACAGTGTGCTTGTTCCTAGTCCTTTCCCGGCTTTGGCTGGCGGAAGGTAATGTTGACCCTGGAAGAAGCTTTGCGGAGCGATAGCGGCGATAGCGGCGTGTTCACTCAACCGTAAAGGCTCAATCAAACAAGGCTTCGTCATCCAGTGAGACGTGATCCGGCTTTGGGGCTCGAATCATCCCGAAAGTAGCGATCCCTGCATCACGACTCCAGTGGTGTGTCTAGCCGCAGATGAGTGGCTCGTCTTTTTCCGAGTCGGTACCGTTGTTGTTGTTTTTTCCCGGCAGGTTTGCAACTCAGCTCCCCAGTAATTGGTGGTTTGGATTGGTGGTTTGGATGTTAGGGATGGTTTCGCCATTGCTCTCTACAAGAACCAAGGGTTCAAATTCCCAAACCACCAATCGCATCCAGGACCGCTTTCAGCCAGCTTTGCACATCGATGAATTCCACTGAATTTGATGCTAGCCTGTGAAACTCAACCATGTTTCGAAGCACCAGGAACTCGGCGTTTTTTTCAGCAATACCTGAAGACGCAGGCAGGAGGTTCTGGAGGATGAACTCCATAGAATTTTAGAAGATGCCCCAACTCGAAAAAGTTCCGATTCCGTATGCCATGCATTTCAGGCATAGGTATCCTTTTTGGTTGTTTTCGTGGAAAAATCGATGGCCCTTTACCTGGTGGTATGATTTCAGGCCTTCGACGTGCTGGAGAGATTAGACCCGGATCCGGAGTTCTGGGAAGGCGGGCGCTTGACTTGTTTTTTTAATCCAGGCATGGACCAGCACCCCACTTCTCCCCACTTCTTGGCTTGTTCAACCATGTTAACTGGCCAAACTGGCCAGAGGGGTGGGAGGCGGACTAAACCGGTGGGTGGGAAAACTGAGTTTTCCACAAGGTGTTTTTTTGATATGGGCAGATTTGTCTGGCTAAAGATTTCTGACGTGGCAAAGGATTTCTAGGGCAGCATATGGATGGGTGCGTCACTTTTTGAGGGTACTTTTTTTTGGTGTGTGTGTGTGTGTGTTTTGTTGGTTTAGAGGGAAAGCAAAAGGAACATTATCCCAAAAACGACCCACTCACATATCATCATATTGGAACCGGAACCATGTTCTGATGGGTGCTTCCTCTAAAAGTGAAGGATCTCCTCTTAGATGGGAAGCCCTGTAGTAGTTGTTTTGCATTTTGAGGCTAACATGCGTTCACGCCTTCAGCTTTGGCAAGCGTTGGGTCAAGTTGCACATCCCAATTCCAGATGACGCCATTGACTCAGTTGTTCAGCACCCTTCTTTCCCCGCTCCCAAAACCTCTTCGAGAAGTCTCAAGGCAAGCGAGGCGCTGCGGTGGGCGTGTTCCAGAGAGTGGTGGCTGGTAAGGACGGAAGCGGAGCGATGTGTATCTGGTGGATATTTTGTTTTTAAACAAACGATGATCTTAGGTTGTATCTTCTGGCTATATAACCATCTAAGAAATCAGTGATACTAGATGCTAAAAGTCTAATAGCTGCCCCTTTACAAGATAGTGCACTTTTTATATCAACAATCCCACGACCAAGAGCCAGGATCCTTTTTGGGAAGTCGCTGGGTTTTCGGACGAGCATTTTTTGGGGGGGAGGGGGAGAGTCTTTGCCTCATCCAGAACGGTTGACCAGCATTTTTACGCCTGACTTGATGCCTGAATTCACGTGTTTTTTGACGAGCATGTTCGAAGCCTGTATTCCATGCAAGCTAACACAACACCTGCAAAGGCGGTAGGAAAGCATTCGAAGAAGGTGTTTGTCCCGAGTTGTGGCTGTGGGTCAAAACCGTGTACCCCTGGTGAATATCAAAATAGGTGGTACATGGGTGTTCATCCGAAATGGAGCCATAGGTTACGACCCATGGCCATGAGTTTGGTCAAGGAGTCTACAGACAAGCTGCGGGAGGTGGTCCAGTTGCTCAGGGGCTCCTCCAATCCACAGGCCAATGGGCTCCCATGTCGGTTTTTCGTGGCCTTAGGCTTCCATTTGCCAAGTTGTTAAGGGAAGCCAAAGGGAAACCAAAGCAAACGTCTGGGGAATAGCCAGTCCGAGGGTCGATTCGTATCTCGCCCCTTCTATTTGATATCAAGAGCCGGGCTAAAACTGAGGCACTTTGCTATCTAGGGACAAATCAATCAGGGTGTGGACGCATACCCCCTACAAGTTCTGTGGATGGGCGCTGGTTCCTACAAAAAGTGTGCGGCCCTAGGCTACATGTCATTTCTTAAAGGGTTCCCCCCGACACGCCGGTGACACACAAAGAACCTTCAATATTTCAAGAACAACCTTTCAATAGTATTTGCTCAATATGTTCAATATTCCAATTATTCCAACAATTACTCCAATATTGAGTTCCAACATTTTCAATATTCCACAAATAGTTCAATGTTTTTTTACAGCTTATTCCACAAGAATTGTATCATTTTTTCCAACTCCAAGGAGGCATCTCCACCCTTGGCATCATAAGCCGTGTTTGCTGCCCTCCCCATGAGGCTGTGTGGCTTTCGAGGGCACACCCTTAGGCTTTAAAAGGGAATCCGAACGGCACGCGACTTCTTTTTGGGGGGGGTCCCAATCCCTATCTTGAGACAAAGACATATATGTCCCCCTGCTGGTTTCAAACAGCACTGTTGGGGGCAAGTTTAAGTGAGCTTCCTACAAGCGTGATGTTCAAAGCGGAACTCTAGGGAGCCCTTAAAGGGCCCAGTGTCAAAAAACCAAGACACCGGGCCTCAAAAGCGGCAGAAGCGGTTTGCTCCCCGGTTCCTTTTGGGGCGGAAGTTTGTTAACGTCCACCTGGGGCGCGCATGTTGAGACCCCCCTTTGGCCAGCAAATCCACAATCCTCAGTTGTTCAGTGGCACCCTTTTTCCCTTTTTTTTGGGGGGCTGCCCCACTAAAAATGGTCTTCCCCAAAAAGGGTTCCCTTTTTTTCCAGGGTCACTGAACAACTGAGAATCAGGCCATTAGAAAGCTGGTTTCATATTTGATGGCGGACTCCAAAATCTCACGTAGGAGTGGACTTGCGTGTTATGGCTTGACCGGGCTGGATGTTCTCACCTGGCGGCCCTTGCCATTCTTCGGATGTGTGTTTTTGATGTTGAAAGAATTCTTCGAATATCAGGTGAGCCTTAGTTGGTGGTTTGGATTGGCAGCTTGGGGATTTGAACCTCTGGGCTTCAGGGAAACAATCAAACCGCCAAGAGGGAAGCTGAGAATGTTGCGGCTGAGCATTGGTTGTTCCTCTGAGCAGCAGAGTTAACCATTCAGTGTATTTGCGGGGACCCTGCTACGTTTAGACATGTGACATTGCAGGTGGAGACGGTGACGTCAGTTATCAAGAAGTGGGCCAAGGACAATCGTGTGAAGGTCGAGTGAGCCCCCTTGGCCAGTTGCGTCTCAACGAAAGATGCGACTGCCTTCGTCAGAATATCTGATGTCATATGTGTAGCACGTCTTGCCTCGGACGATTGGCCAGCAGGGAGGCATGCTTGCAGATTGCGTAGGCGTGGGCAGCTGGCAAATCGTTTGTTGCAACTCGCTGGATTTGTTTGTTGCAAGGCTCTTGAATGGACTTGTAGATTTGATCTGTGTGAATTATAACAACCTCACACAACCTCACCCCAAATGGTGGTTTATGTGGGGAATATCCTTCCAACCACCTTATTTCAGGTTGGTGAAGTAGAATAATTCACCCAGGTTTGATGAACAGGAATGAGACGCTGGACTGTGAATATGTGCACAGTTCCACACTTGAAAGCCGTCAAATGATGCAGAATTGAAGCTGTGCTAAGGTTAGGCCAGGCTCAACGCTTGTGCGGCTCACAACAACTGCAGTTGTGCCAGCCGCGTGTCACCAGCGTGCACGGAAGGGACCTTGATGGAGCAGTTGGCATTCAGTTTTGTGGTTCAAACGGACAAGGCACGAAGCCGACTCACTCAACTTACTTTGACTCGGACACACAAATTTGTTTCGCGGGCAGATGGCTCAGTCCCCGGTGCAGATTGCTTATGCATGACGCTAGCATCGGCCGTCCGCCCGTCGCCGAGCGGCACCGTTCCAGTGGTAAGAGAAGAATCCCAGATGGAAAAAGCACCATAGACCATGGGCGCCTGCAAAGGAATATTGTCTTGGTACATAGTGGCAACTGAGATCCACTGCGAAATTCGGAAAATCAGATAGGCGACCTTTCGGGAAAACAGATGGATTTCCCATGTAAATGGGGCAGAAAACCAATCTAAACCATCTATGTCTAAGCAAACTAAGCGATCAAAAGGACACCAATGCAGCTGCAGGTGATTCGAACTGATGTTCCTTGACCACTCATCAGAGTTCCCGCGGCAGGCGACGGCTTTGCATGAAATTCGAATTCATGTATCTGAGGGCCGACCAAAAAAAACAGCCCAACCAGTCCCAGCAGGTGCCTTGGCATGTACGCCTTACATATATCAAGAGGCAAATTTCGATGTTTCTTTTGTTGGAACGCGTGTCTTTGAATAATTTTCCAATGTTTAACGAAAAACCAATCAAGCGTAGCGTCAACTCAGAGGTCAGTATACACATGTGCATGTATGCCGCAGATTCACGTGTTTCTTGCGACGAGGCTCGACGCATCACAAACACCCTCAACGCCAGTGTGGCACGCAAGGGTCGACTTTCGCACGACAATTCTTCGCCAAGGCTTCAGGATCTTAACCTGTACAGGGAGACTAAGTGCTTTCGCGCTGAAAGAAAAGAATCGCGGCATTTGCATGTGGGCACTTTCCGAAGGAGCTTGCTGGCTTGAGAAGTGTCAATAGCTAGGCTTCTCTGAAAGAGATTATCCTCACTTCCTGAGTTCATGAACTTTAAACTTTTTGGGAAGACCATTTTAGTGGTAATTATAAAGTTTGAACTTTTTTTGGGCCATCCACTCAGCCAGTGAGTATCCCTCTAGGAGTTGATTCCCCATTTTTGTTTCAACCATCGTTGCTCTTTCCCCTGGGCCTCTGATGGTTGGACAGATTCGGATCGGGTTCAGAATGGAAATGGAAGTGTCCCCCGAGAATCCTGGCTTCGCTCTGGCATAAGCTTTATCTGGTCTTCGGAGCTGCATCTCACTGAGCTCTATCCAACCAAAACTCAGTTCTTCAGTGGCACCCTTTTTCTTTTTCCCCCTTTTTTCGGTGGCTGCCACACTAAAAATGGTCCAAGCCCCAAAAAGGGTTCCATTTCTTTTTTTTCCTGGGTAACTGAACAACTGGGAAAAAAAAAGGAAAAAAACGATTCCTGCCAGATTTGCGAGTTCACTTGGGCGATTCTTCGGGGGACCCGGGGGGGTGACCCTGGGAGCCACTGCACCAATTCGGCGCTTCAAACTCGTCTCAGTTCGATTCGGCCCAAAAGCAGTCGATGGGTTTGAATTGTCGGGCGTTCGCTGAATAGGTGTTCTTAGCTCAGTTTGGTTGAACGATGGCACTGGCTTCAGTTTGGCGCTTCCCCTTCCCAAAGGAACCTATAGCGCGCAGGAACTTTCACCTGGGTCTAATCCGCGCTTCCTGCCGCGCGGGTCTCCTTCTTGCTGCAGCGTAGCAACATTTTATCATTTGTAGGAATGTTGTGTAGCTTTCGCGCTTTCCTCCTGACTGTCCGGATCTCAGGATCGCAGATCGATGGATTTTTCTGGAGTGGGTCGGGCTCGTCGGCGGGCACAGGTGGCCTTTTCGGCCATGCTGGTTCTTGTAGCGAACAGCAGGGCCCAAAATTTTGTGTTCTCCCTGTTCTCCTGGGTAGCAATTTCATTTTGCCCTGTCCAAGAGCCCCAAGTCTTGGTGGCTCCCAGCTATGCCCTTAGCCTTTTAGCCTTTTAGTGTTTAGTGGTAGTTTCCATTTAACCCACAAAAAGTTGAAGTTTTAGTGGGGCGTCTGAGGGCAGCCCAGAATTCCGCAGCTCGCTTTAAAAAAACCAAAGGCCCAGCCTGACGGGCCCCACTTCCCGAGGCGTATGCAGCAGCGCTGCCTGCGCACATTCGTGCGGGTGACCGAAGGACGGAAAGCTACGCCTGTTTCAGCTCCGCAGATGGCTGTGGCTCAAAAATCCGGTACCAAAATGGAACCCTGGTAAGTGGAAACATGTGCAACCCCTCCTGTTTAATTTTGAGCAACACCCATTTGGAGCAGCTTGTGACGCTGTGTCCGGCTTTACAGCTCGCTGGCCGAGAGCTATGATTGGGCGCGTGGTTTTAGGCTTGACTCCCTCTTGGTGGCCTTGAAGTGAACACTGTTGAAAACTCCACCAGCCAGTTTGCCCCCCCCCCCCCCCCACGGCCTCCCCTCCAACCGCGAAAAAAAGCACGCACCCACGCAGACACACAGAGACACGCACACACGCGCGCACGCGCGCGCACCTGGCTGACTGACTCAATCACTCTCCCTTTCTCAGGATCTACGTCAATGGTGTGCCCCTTCACATGAAGGGAGTGAATTGGAATCCGGTGGCGCTCGGCGGCTTCCACCCTTTTGGTCCGGGCCTCGAAGCCTCCATTTGCTGAAGCCCCCTGGGAAGAAAAAGAAATGTGTCCAGTAGTGCTAGATTCCCTTTAAAACCAACAGGGGAAAATAAAAACAATATATATATATATATTCATTTCAGCAAATGGAAGGAAGTCTCTCGCTCTCTCTCTCTCTCTCTCGCCAGTTTCCTCGTTGCTTCGCCGCCGGGAAAACGCGGAAAAGGTGGAGAAAAGTTCAGGTATCTCGTTGGTGGTTTGGATTTGGAGTTGGATCTGGATCGTTCTTGTGTAGATGGGAAGCCTCCCCACCAGTTCAAACCACCAATCAGAGGGAAGCTGAAAAGTTACGGATATGCGGTTTGCAAGATCGGGGTGCTGATGCGGTTGTGATTTGCTGGAGATGCAGTTTGCACAAGATCACAAAGATCTTGCGGGTATGTGGGGTCCAAGAACCTGCGTTTGCATTCTTGTCCGTGCCCCTGCGACAAGAGTCTACAGACTGGCTGACTTCCTAAAAACAAGTTGGTTGGTTGGTTGGTTGGTTGGTTGGTTGGTTGGTTGGTTGGTTGGTTGGTTGGTTGGTTGGTTGGTTGGTTGGTTGGTTGGTTGGTTGATTAGTTGGCTCGCTGGCTGGCTGGCAGGTTGGTGGGTTGGTGGGTTGGTGAGTTGGCGGGTTGGTGGGTTGGTGGGTTAGCTTTTTGAGCGTAGCCATGTTACTCCTTGCCTCGCCCAGGCTTAGAATTCAAAGAGTTTGTTGCAAGAGATGCACGGCTCATGGCGGAGGCTGGGCCAGGCAGACAGAAATGATGCCTGAGTAGGTGGTTCTACTACTTCTAGGTCCCCGAGTAGTGGCCTTTTGCCAACATTTTTGGGGGAGGGTTCCCAAACGAAAATGGACTGCAGAGAAAAGGGTACCCTTATTCTAACCTCTCTACTGCTCCCACCGACCAGCCTGGAAGTACACACACCCTGTGGAAAGACCCCTGCTTTTTTTCTCCTGATGTCTGAGGTACACGCGGACCAATCAACATGCAACCTGATGTTCGGGACCTGGTCCCTTTGAAAGCAAAATGGTCCAAACCAGGACCCGAACGTCAGGTTCCATGTGAAAACGGGGGGAGGGTACTACTTGATGTGTATCATAATCATGTTGCTAGAGCTTCCATTTGCTTAAGAATGTTTTTTCACTTTGCCCTGTTGGTTTTAAAGGGAATCTATCACTACTGGAAGCAGTTTTATTTTTCCCAGGGGGCTTAATTAAGCAAATGGGGGAGAATCAACACTCAGTGGGGTTTGGGCGCCGCTCGATTTATTTCAGTATGGCTCGTCTGGGAAGGACACGAGACCACGTGGCCCAACTTTGTTACCTCTGGAGCAACGTGGCGGACTCACGCGACTTCATATGTTCCTCTTACTCAATGAACAGCTGACCTCTGACCACCCATGTTGACCTTGCGCAAAATGATCCCGTGGCAAGGTCGATTGACGAGGGTTGCCACAAAGCGTGCTCTCACCGACTCACTCGCTGAATTGCTGCGACAATGTTCCTCCAGGGCAAGCATTCGGATGCGTATATCAACCTTCGAGTTTCGTTGAGGACTGCACCAAACAGGGCACGAGGTCTTTACATATATACATATATAGCACCCTCACATACACGCAGGGAATTTGCCTACGTTCGGCTTGCTGGTTTTCGGAGCCCCTTGTTCCATGTCGCTTTTGAAACACACAAAGCCAGAACAATCTGGCCGTGTTTGTGTAGCCGAGACAAAGTTTGCAAAATATGCTATGTTGAATATAGTGATAGACCAGGCATGATGAGCCTTTATCGAGTACACACACCTCGGCTTGAATTGCGCCAGCTAAACAATATGGTGCGATGTATTCTTCCGTGTCATAGAATATGAACTCTGGTAAGTGCTTTCAGTGATGTGTTGTTTGTTTCTTGTGGATACAATTGAAATTGCTTAGTTTTGGGAAAGTGACCTGTTCACTTCACAATGAGTGGAGGTGCTTGTTAATATCTTGAGGATGAATGTGTGCGATGTGTCCAAGCTTCGAAGGGCTGCTTCCAGAGCGTTCTGGGTCAACAGCTTGCAGGCGACAAGTAAAGAAATGCGGGTGGATAAAGCTACATGAGCCTGTCCCAGTGGCACGGGCTAGCCTTCAAATCAGAAAGGGGCCTCAAGCAACATCATGGACGCATCTCCGAATAGCTGCGTGACGACATCAATGTGATCGCTCACTGATGAGTGCAACTTCAGCTTGTGCTGCCCTGCGATCGAGTAGGGGACTGCAGCATGCTATCATCAAATGGTGCACGTGCAACATTTAAACTGCGTCGGGCTATTTTGACTTTTTGCTGGCTGCACTTCCCCCATTTTCTCCAGGGATACGTCTTTGCAGAAACTTGCCCACACAGGGAGTCTTAGTGGCTCCTCAAAACATGGGCAAAGGGAATGGATCAATTGGAATCCTATCTTCAAGGCTAACCTGCTCCAATTTCCCGTAAGTGTGCGGGGCTTAGACTCTGCCAGGTATTGAACCGGCGAGGGTGGCCATGGTTAAATTGGGGGTGATCAACCCAGGTGATTGACCCACAGATTCCGCTTTCTAAGGTCCACGGATCGCTGAAACCCTATGACGAGAAAGCTACCAGCCGGTGCAGGATTTCGTCCGTCAACAGTAGGGTACCCTCCCATAAAACCCAAAAAACCATCACCTGCACATTGGGTTAAACTTAGGCCACATTTTACATTTACCAGTGACGCAAAAAAAGCAAACAACAGAATATACATTCTATGACTGGGCCGAAGTCTAATCATGCACAGTGCTCTTTTACCCTTTTTTGGGGGAGGGTTGCCCTAAAATAGACTAAACCGAAAAGCAAAAAGTTTGTACCCTCTACTTCGAGGAACGAATAAAACAAACACAGGAACCGGTTCCTGGCCCGGTTTCCCTTTCTGGGGATCGGTTCCTGTGCGGCTAGGCGGGCGTCAACGTGGTAAGGACCTACGAGCCGGTGACGGATCCCGCGCGGAAGCCCGTTGTTTTTTTGTTTTTTTTCAGGTGGCTGTGGGTCAATACCCCTGGTCCCCCTGGCGAACATCAAAATAGGTAGCAAATGGAGGTTCATCCAGCCCAAAACGGAGCCATATGTTATGCCCCATGGCCAGGTTGGACTTTCTAAATGGCGCGTGTCCTGTTCTTTGTTGGTGATTTGGTAAGGGATCTTGGGATCCTTTCCCGTTTTGTTTTGATTCTGTGGATTTTTGCGTATTGGAGCCACAAAAAGTTAAGCTTTTTGCAGAGGGGCCAACAGCAACCAAGCAAACTGCGGTTTCCTTTTAGTTTGCCTTCAACGCCCCAAAATGGGGCAGACCAACTCCAAAAAGAGAGACCGAACTCATTGCCAGAGCATTCCGTAAAATCTAACCAGCAAGCGAGAACTCTTTTTGTTCTGCAATTTTGCCGTTTTATCCTTTTCTTTCCGAAGTTTGCACACGCGGAAGCAACGCGATGACTTTTTGGGGGTGAAGTCTGGCAAAGGAAATCGACCGTAAGGGGGGACCCCCCAAAACCTTTGTTCTGAAGCCCTAAGGCACTGGAAGATGTTTTGTTCAACCTAGCTGATTCACTTTTGGGTGGTAGGAAACTAGGAGCTACCGGCGAGTCAGGGACGGGTCCAACTACTTTTGCGTTTCGAGGTGGCTGTTTCCTGACAGGTAGGGTTTCAGAAGATTTTATTTTTTTTACAAGCTGACTGAGAGTATATTTATGGCCATTAGGGAGTACACTCATCAGGACTCGTTGAATAGCTACTTCTGGAGTACTCGTACAGGGAATTAATTCTTGGATTGCAAGTGTAATGATTCTCTTCGAAGGAACTCCATTCCTTTTCCCCAGCCAGCCAGACGGACGGGCGTGTTACCTACCAATGTGGCTTCCTAATCACCAAGTTGCTAGCCGAGCCTTTCGATCCCGTTTCGATCCTCACTCAGATATTACTAGGCATTTGGGCTTGTTGTTTTTGCGGATACCCTGTTGAGGGTGGTTTTAAAGGCTGGAGGTCCCCTTTGAGACAAACCCATATGGATGTGTGTCAGGGTTCCACGAGCGTACCTGGGTCTTCGGGTATTGTTCAACCTCTTGTCTCCAAAAAAAGGGGTACGCCCTCAAAATCTGTAGCCTTCAAAGGGGCATTCCGCGGAAGGGAAAACGACAAAAAAAACTAGCTGAAAAGGGTGCCACAAAATATTGCACAGCGTCATTTCGGTTGCTCCAGGCTGTCTTGGACGAGCTGTGGCGCAACGGGATTCAGGCAGCTCGATCCAAGCGAAAGAGAGCCACAGCTCTTGATCTCAAAGGTCCAGCTTGCCTCTCACCTTCCATTCGCGGAAGAAAATGTGGTATTCTCCATTGTTGGTTTTAAAAAGAAATTCTCACAACTGGAAATATATGTTTTTCCAGGGGTCGTTGTTGGCTATTTGGGAAGGCTAGGTGCCCCCGCTAGGTGCCAACTTGTACCAACTTTTTGGGCGGAAGGTTCCCCTACTAAATTAGGCTACAGAAAAAAAGTGGGTAGTAGACTACAGATCAAAGTGGGTACCCTTATTCTAACCTATCTACTGGAGGACCTAGTCTCACCTGTTCACCTCTTAGTGTCCGTTTTTGGGCAACCATTTTGAGTGGCCCCAAAAGGTGAACCTTTGATGTGTGGGTCCTTGGCGCAACTGAGTAAATGCTGTCGGCCCAATTCTGAGTGGACTTCCCTTTGGTTCTGGCAGTGTCCTTGCCGAACAGCGGTTTAGGGACAGAAAGAGGGGGAGAGGAAGAGAGAGCTAGAGAGAGAGATAAAGAGAGAGACAGAGAGAGAGATAGAGATGGGTATGGCTCAAAATGCAACCATCAGGGGACCGCAGGTTTTAGTCTTTGGTTCATTTACCAGAGTTCCATTTTTTTGACCCATAGCCAGATAGAGATGGAGATGAGGAGGAGGGCAAGGAGCCCGCTTTGTGGTGTCACTAAACCTGTCTGGAACCCCCACCCCCCCTCCCCTGCGATTGAAGATACCCGTTGCTTGAAATGTTCCTTTTTTTTGGGGGGGGAGGGGGTGCCATGGACACTTAGAGTCAATTTTGCAGCCTGGAACCCTAAGAAACCAATACCCTAAGTGAAGAAGGTTGCAACATAGACCCGTTCAGTGTCCATCATACGGGCAGGGCCGCTTGAAACCTGGGCTGAAGCTGTGTGAGGCAACCTGTGCCCCCGTTCCGTAGGCGTCAGCCCAGGACACCAACGCCGGTTTCATGTGAGAAGACCACCATTGTGGCTACCAAGTTGCAAAAGACATCTCGGGGGAATGCGGAAGCTTCTGGTCAAAGAGCTACAAGACGACTCTCACAAAAGTCAAATTAAATGGAGTGGTCAGTCACGAACCAAATTACTACCACAGATGGCGATACTCAAACTCACTGAAATCAGACAGAATGAGAGGAAGCATTGTTGCAGGCGAGGCGAGAGAAGGGGTTCAGGTAAAGCCGGAAATGCGGCAAAACCCTCCTTTATGTTGATCCTGCCTTACCTAGATCCCAAGAGCTTCTTGCGATTGTGCAGGCTTCTTTTGCTCAGCGCCGACCTGTTGACCTTTTGGGCCCCAAAAGGTGTGTGTGTGTGTGTGAGTTTGAATTGGTTTCCCTTGCCCGGGGTGATATGCCTGCAGATCCTGAACACCATCTACTCGCACGCGGGAAAGCCACTAGAGGCAGTTCGAAAAGAGGCCCGTCGAGTCAAGGGCATCGCGATTGAGTGTTTCCTGACAGTGAAAACTCAGTTCCCCCCTCTCTTGGACGGCGTTTAGGATGCCAAAGAGGCACGCCAGAAGCTTCGTGTGAACCGGGCTCGTGTCATCCACTCTGGAGGTTGTTTTGCCCTCCAAGTCCGATCTGTTTCTGGCAATGAAGGAACCGCGCAAACAAGGGAAGTCTCCAAGCAACAAGCCCTGCTCCAGTGACAAATTTCAGCGGGTATCAAACACATTGGGAGCACAGAAGCATCCGTTGATGTCGCGATGTTGCAGGTCTGAAGCGTAGCTCCCAAGTTTCCTCAGTTCAAGTCTTCGCTTTGAAACGGTCGAGCAATTCTCTACCAGGTCCCCCAGTGGTGCCCTTTTACCAGCTTTCTTGGGGGAGGGTTCCCCTACTAGACTACAGAATAAAGGGTACCCTTATTCTAACCTCGCTACTGGAGGATCTAGTCTATAAGAAACGGATCCCCGGTACCAAGCATCTCATGTGTTTCTCCAGCAAATCCAGCGAGGAAGCTTCGGCACGCTTGCCACGGAAGCACCCATTGGAGTTCCGCCGGAAGCGTGGGTTCGGCTCATTTGGTTCTTGTGAGGCTTAAGCCTTGTGAAGGTCCGCTCGAACCTGATGCCCAGTTGCCCAGTGGTGCCCTTGTGTCCTTTGTTTTGGGAAGGGTGTCCCTTCAAAATCAACCAACCAAAAAAAGGATGCCCTTTTTCCATGGCCACTGGGCATCTGAGTATCGTTCTACAGGTGAATTTCTCGCTTCGAACAGTGCCAGGTGGATGCCGCTGCTGGGCCGCAGAAAGCAAGAGGACTTGTTGCAAGTTCATTCTGGAACCCCCGTTGCAGGCTACTGTCTATGGTCATTGGGTGTTGACCTTTTGTTCAATTTCCCCACATGTTGACTTTGTAGAAATGGCCATCGGTCAAAACCGCGTACCCCCATTGAACATCCCAATCCCCACTAAAATAGGTTCTAAAATGGGTGGTGAATTCACCTACCGACCAAAATCGGGATCCCAAAACGGTTTTGAACCATGGCCAAATGAACTTCTGGGCTTTGGCGCTTTCCTCGTCTGTTTCGCGCAAGCCCCCGTGAGGTCAAGCATCACCCGGCCCTTTTGATGTGGGTGGCCGGCAACGAGTCTCAAGCTCAGCGCTTCAGAGCCTCCCGTTTTTTTTTCGGCGTCGCAATTTTTTTAGAGGCTCCGGGAGAAGAGAAAGAGCGAGGGAAACCGAGCGAGCCTTCTTTTACGGAGTTCCCCTTTTGTTTTTTTTTTGTGGGAAATGAGTACAGTGGAACGACAGGATAGCTGAAACAACGACAGGATGTCAACAGGAACTTTTGGCTCTGAACTTTCGGGGAAACCAAAGGGCAAACATGGCTCGGCTGGAGAACTGGGCACGAGAATGATAGCCGTGAGCATAGGCCTCAAGCAAAACGCCCGAAAAAGGAAACACGGGTTGGGTTTAGGGCATCGCCCAAAAAGCAAACACGGAAACTAACATAGCATTTTCCAGGTCGCCGCAAAGGCAAACACGGAAAACCGGGCTCTTTAAAAAGAAAATCATTTTGCAACCATTTGAAGCGTGTTGCTTTTTCAACACCAAAATAGTGGGAACCCACCATCTACCAGGCAATGTGCAGGTGTATAATGTAGAGATCCCTGAAAATCCCATTTTTTGATGCCTTGTGTTGGTGTCCAGGTGGAATTACAACGGCTGCTACCTGCAGATGGATCTGAACGCCTGTGGGCAGCGCTTGAACGATGTTGCCGCGCGGCTGATTGGTGAGGCCTTGGGATCCCTGGGATGCCGAGCATGCGGTCGGCTCGTCATTTTGTTGAGGGTATCCCGTTGATATATATTTGTTTTGGTTTGTCGGAAGAGTGCCTATAGGGTTGTAGCAGATGGGGTTGCAGTTGCATCGGTTTTTCTCCACACAAGGGCTTCCAATCAGGCCCCCCCAGCTCACAGACTCAAGCAAGAGTGCGCGAAGCAAGAGCATTTGGCCATGATTTGTTTAAATGTGGTAACAACCCAGCAGGGGCTTGCGCATATCAGCCCCCTTAGCCCCCTTGTGAATGATGTCCAGCAAGGCGACCTGGCTCAAACGCTCAGTTGTGCTTACCGGCGGCGTCGGTAAGCGCAACCACAGAATAGACAGCGCGCCAGGGGCTGAGTATGTGCTCCCGACGGCTTGGCTGTGCTTACGGACGCCGTCGGTAAGCGCAACTGCCTGCTCTCACATGAAACCCGTCATCCATGCTCCGGGCTCTTCGACAAATGGGCCCACGGTGTGTGCGGCAAAATGCCTGCGCTTTTGAAGCTCTGGTCTTAGCGCAGCCCCAGGGGCACACACGCACATAAGTGGGCAGGGCTGATTGGAGGGCAGGGCTGATTGGAGGGCAGGGCTTTGTTTTTTTGCAACTCGCCTACAACCCCATCCACTACAACCCTATAGGACCTTTTCCAAGTTTGAAAGGAAATCCGAGGGAAGCCTTAGTTTTTAGGTATTTGCTTTTTGTGGTTTGAAAGGAAATCATTTCCACGAGGGAAGCCTCTAAATTATTTAGGGGCTCCCTATTTTGAGACACATGTGCGTGCATGTGTGTGTGTGTGTGTTTCCTTTTGTTGGCGAAGCATGTTGGGACTGAAGGTAAATCAGCCGAACATGTGGGTTCCCGCATAGGATACCATGGTTTCTACTGAAGCGGCCCTCGGAAGTGGTCGCTTCCGCTTTGAATTGGAGGTGGACGTCATGGTGATTTTTCTTGGGGGGGGACCCCCTTGTTGGCGATGAAAGGGAAACCATAAGGAAACCCAACCGGCCACAGTTACTTTGGTTGCCCCCCCTCCCGGCGCACGACAGCCAGTTTTGACTCTCTTGGGACTATGGTACATGTTGTGCCGCTTTGACATTCGACAGCCACTGTCACGTGAACCCCGTGGCATTTTGAGAGGTGCTTGGTTCCCAGTGTTTTTGGCAATGGCAAATAGGCATGTGTGTCAAACTAGGGGACCTCCCAAAATGGTGGTTGTCCTTTTGGTTTCTCGTTGGACCAAGCTGAAAAGTGCACCCTCAAAATATGCAAATACACACACCATTGGATGCCATGCAACACCGGATCAGCTCTAGTTTTTGTGTGATTCGATGTTGGACCATGGTTGCTTTCGAAGCCAAGGCAACACCTGTTCCAAAGCCGATGCTTGCGCCAATCGCAGTGTGAAGCTTTCCCAGAGCCAAATCCAGCGGTCGATTCACGACAGGAAATAGGCACCCTCCTGCCAGACTTCAGTGGATGGGGAACAAGGTTTCCTTTCACACCGGCATGTCCTGCAATAGAACATGTGTTCTTCGCCTTTGGCTTCACAAGCCCCCCAAAGTTAAGCAAGGGCAGCCAAAGCGGAACCCACTGTTTTTTTTGTTTTGTTGTTGTTGTCGTTTTTTTTTTTTTTTTTTTTTTTTTTTCTGGTTCCACCTCCCATGTAAAGAAACTGACGCCCAGAATCTGAGTCCCGGAGTTGGCCTTGAGCTTTGGCAAGTGCCACCCGTTGCGTGGCGGAAGCTGAGGCCCGGCTCGTGAAGAGCTATGACCCGCACCATCCAGTGGCGCCAGCCTCGACTCGCCTCGCCTCGGCAAGACTCGTGGTGCGGGGGTTTCCCATCACCAAAGGGCACCGTGGTAAACGCTTGGTTTGCCTTTCACCCCTCAACATGGGTGTGCGTGTCTTCTTGGGGGGGAACCCCCCAAAATGAGGGTCAACAAAAATGAACTTGTGGTGTCCCTTTAACCCAATACCCTTTTTCGCAACGCAAGGTCCGGGAGCTCTAGTTCCCCCAGGGCTGATGGAAAGCTGAGCCGCTGGATTTTGTTCTCCCCCGACTTGGACACTTCCCCTTTGGTGCATGTTGCCAAGGGATGTCAGGACTTCAACTTTTGGCCAACTAATGAGTTTTCCGTATCAAACCACTAAAAGTTAAACACTTTTAGCAGGGGAGCAGATCTCGCAACCGAGTCCAGCTGTCCAATGGCGATGTTCCGGATCGATTCCGGGTGCCGAGGGATGTAACCCCCACCATGAAACCCGAAAGGTTCCTAGAGGATAAAAATCCGTCAACCAAGCGTCAGGTTTAAGGCGGGGTCAATTGGTTTTTCAGCCTGGAAAAGAAGAATCCCAAGAAGGCCATCGCGGAAATGGCGAGTTTTGTTCGTGCCGCGCAAATGCGTTGGGAAAGGATTCCCAGATGCTTTGACCTATAAGTCTTTGTCCCTAATTCACTCGCCTGATTGACATGGAACTCAGAAACTTCTCATTTCAAGAGGAACTTGTTGAGGACCCTTTTGGAAACCCATGTAAAGAAAACATGTAGGGGACAGTTGGGCGAACGTCGATGGCACGTATCCTCCGTCTGTTGCTTTGGTTCTCCCCTTTTCCCATATTTCCACCGATGGTGCTGTAACCCATCAGGCCATGAAACTGAACCGCTGCAGAGGGGGGGGTATATAGCCAATGTCCTTTGGTGGTTCGGGAGATAGTCGGCACCATTTTACCCACTTTCGGGCACCAAAAAAAATGGTATGTTACTCTGTTTCCCCTATCCATAGTGGCAACTGGAAGCTCTGGGTTAGAGAGTAGCTCTGAGAGAGTGGCACCCTCTCACAGTCACATGGGCGTTGTTGTTTTCGTGTTAAAGGGCAAACAAAAGGACACCAACCATTTTGGGTGTCCCCCTGGTTTGACACAATTCCACAACCCAACACATTACAATAATATATAAACATATACAGATGTACATATTTATACGTTCCACTCATTCTAGTCATATGTACATATGCATATTGTACACACCTTTTTACTTGTACGTTGCACTTCCCAAGCCGCTTGAGCACCTCCAAAGCTTGAAAAGCCCGCAGGCCTCGGTCTACGGCGAGGCTCCGCCCATCGACGTCATCGAGAAGCTGGACGCCATCGACGCGCGGCCGCCCGTTTCGAGGGCGGGGGTCGGATGCGAAGGCGCAAAATTCGACTTAGATTGGCTGAAATGAATATGCCTTCATGGCTCATTGTTGGTTTTAAAGGGAGTCCATTTCAGTCCTGGAGATATGTTTCCCATTTTTTGCCAGGGGGGCGCAAAAGACAAGCAAAGGGTTAACTTACAGGAAAATCTACGGGAAACGGCCCCAACACACCCTCAACAAGCTGTTGTCCTGCAGACCTTCCTGTAAGGTATCCCTTTCAAAGAAGCTGAGTTTGGGTGACAACGGTCTTCAAATGGTGTTGTTCTTGGTGTATTTGGACTGGACAAATTTGTTTTTTTTTGGGTTTTGGTTTGACTTTCGACACCGGCCAGGCATAGGATCGCACTCCATTTGTGAAATCGATCGAACCTAACCTGGAGCTTTCAGTCAAGAGACCAAGGGGGCGGTACGTTCAACAAGGCAAATGGCTTCTCCAGTTCAAACATGTGCGTTGGGGCCCCTCCAAGCAGGTGGCTGCTTCTGGTTTCCCTCTAACCCTACAAGCTCTACCCTTCCCAAGACGAGCCACCCACCTGGCCCGATTCTTCCGAGGTCCCTTCGACCACTGGCTAAGAGTGGTCCTTCCTCGGTTTGTTTTGCCGTAAACCATCCCCACTTGGAGGGCCAGGCCGGCGCCAAAGAGTAACCGGACATGGGCGTGGCTCAAAATTCACCGAGAAACCGCCTGTTTTAGTCATGGGTTCCATTTCCAAGGGTTCCATGGGGTGACCCCAGGTTTGAAACAGATCCACATGCTGCCACCTCAGATGTGAAGTTGGGGGCTTGAGGACTTTTTCTTGAATTAGGCAATTTCCCAACAGAAAACTGCTGGAATTGCGCCCGCAAACTTCAAGGCACCAGCCAAAAATCCATGGGTGTCCTGTTCCTATCCCAAGCAAAAGCTGTTCCAACCCAAAAGGCTCAGGTAATTCTCTCCTGAGGATGGCGTTTTTTGGGGAAAATGGAATTCCTCCTTGGGGACCAAGGGGCCCTCTCCTGGGCAACAAGCAATGCTCTGGATTGGCTTTGGGGGCAATACCTCCTTAGGCTACCTGGATGGACCCTCTGGATCCAATCCACTTCAAGCTCGCGACATCTCGAGGTTTGGTTGCCGCGAGGTTTGGGGTGTGAACTACTACGACGAGCTTAGCTTCGGAGACCTCTTCAAACGCCGCCACCTGAGACGGACGGACATGGCAAAGTCGGTCGGTCCGGGAAGTCGAAGGGGAAAGGAAGCCCATGTCATAGGGGCCATTTTCAGGAGGGAGGGTCATGGGCACATTCTTGAATCTGCAATTTTGCATTCCCATGGGTTTTGGGGTCAATGAAGAATGTCCCAAGGGGGGCCAAACATGATCCTAAAATGGCACTGGTGAAGCAACCGAAACCTGAGCCACTCCTCAACCGGGTGCCAACTGTCGAAAGCCTTTGTTTTCTTTTGGCACTGTCTTTCGGGTTGAAACAAAAAACCGGAAATTCCAGCTTCTCGCCTTTTCGGATCCGAGAATTCAGCAGTTCCAACTCAATAAAGAACGGCAGATGCCATGCACAGGTGCAAAGGTGTCAAAACCAGGACCGGCGTCCTTCGAATGAATTGCTTCATGTTGGCTGCATTGAGATAAAATGAAACGCAAAAAGATACGCGTTGTCACATGTAACCACATGACATCCTTGGCCGTTGCACCTTTGGCGCGGAACGCGGACCGTTCCGCGTGTTCACTTCTTTTTTCCAACCATCATTGTCCAGGAACATCAGCAAAGATCTCGGGGTTGCAACCTCCAAACTGCCAAATAGTTGGATGTTTTCCAATTTTGGGGGAGGAGTAGGAGGAGTGGGTGTTTTCCAAGGAGCATTGTCCCCATAGAGTGGAGGTTTCGGGGGCCTTGAAGGGAACTACTGGCTTCGTCATGCCATGCAGCCCATAGGCTTGTGCCCGAGCCTGACCCAACAAAAATACTGGAGTTTGCAGGAATGTCACCACCTGGACCCTCAAACTACCCCCCAAAAAAGGAGCCTGGACCCTGAAACTACCCAAAGGAGACTTGACTCGATTTGGGGCCACCCATTTTTTTCGGGTGAAAAGGTGATTGGGACGTTTCAGAAGAGCCTCACGGCTCCAGCCCTCTGAACGTCCGCATGGTTCAGGGAAGAGAAGGGGTATCATTAAAGCGGGCGGACATTTTTGGGTTCAGTTGCCATTGCCACCAATAAACTAATGGGAGTTAACATAACACCATTCTTTACAGGATTGTCATCATCCAAATTGGGTCAACCATTATTTGAACTGGGGTTGAACCTTAGGGTTCTGCCTCCAATTGGTGGAAAGGCCAGAGGTCAAATTCAAACAGCTGGTGACTTACTGTAATGATATGTGGAAGCTCTGAGTAGAATATTGCTGACAGCTTCTTCGATTCTGACAGCTGCCTGAGATCCAGTTTCTCAAGTTGCCATCGTCACATCTTCGCAGCTCACTTCCATTTGCTGTAGATGTTTGTTGTTATTTTCCCCTGTTGGTCTTAAGATGGAACCGATTTCACTACTGGACATATTTTTGTCCATTTTTCCCAGGGGGCGAAAAAGCACACATGCCGCCAATTGCTGGAAAAGCAAGAGGTCAAATTCAAACAGCTGGTGACTGACCGTAATGATGTGTGGAAGCACTGCGGGCAAAGAAGTCCGCTGGGATTCTTCAAGCTGTTCCCACTCCAGGCTACGCGCAGCGGTCCACCAAGCCGTTCTTCCTCGGGGAGTACGGCGCCGATGCGTGAGCCGATCCGAACGAAAATCTCGCAGATCGGGACATGGGTTCAGAAGAGACATGCTGGGAGTTCATTCCCAACTTCCATTTTCATGGGGGCTAGGGGGGAGGGAGGGGCGGAGGGAGCCCAAATAAGCCCTAAATAAGGCCTTATTAAGGCCATATTTGGGGCTTATTTGGGCTCCCTCCCCCTCCCCCTCCCTCCCCCCAGCCCTCAACTTCCATTTGGTTAAGTGTTTATCTTTTCTTTTGTTTTGTTTCGCCTGTTGGTTTTAAAGGGAATCTATCACTAGACATATCTTCTTTTTTTTCCAGAGGGCTTAAGCAAATGGAAGGGGAGAAGAAAAATGCTGGGTGTTCAGTCCCAAGGTTCCCCGGACTGGAATGTTTTTTTCGGGGAGACCTCACCTTTAGGCAGAAACAAGAGAGGCTTGGGACAGAGAGTCAAGTTGCCTGCGGAGCTTGAGTTGGTTGGTATCGGGAGATACTTGACCGGAAACCGGACATTTGGGACTCGAGTTGCTGAAGTTGTTTCCGAGACGGGCGTGGCCAACTCCGAGTGGATGACGCTTTGGCGGATGCCAGATCGCAAAGCAGAACCATGGCGCAGCGGAGTCTTGACCATGGATAGCCTCAGGCTTGATCCGGTGGTTCAGACACATGTTGTTACTTAAGAGTTCTCCAAATAGTCGCGTTTATCCAAATGAAATATTCAATCCAGGTAATGTTCAAGCAGAACCATAACTTACGAGCAACTGACAATGTTGCTTATAGCCTGTGATGATAGAGACGAATTTGATCGGATTTGCTGGTTCCTCATTTAGACAGGGAAGGACTGCTACCCAAATGAAGCAGGTGTAAGGTCCTTTTGGATTCCGTTTTTGCCATGTCTTCGACAGGTACGATGCGCGCTTTGCCAGTGTCAACGAGGCGTTTTACCTTCCCCCCTCTGACATGGCGCCTGTGGGAGGGTACTTGGAAGACGACTTTTTCCTCTTGGAGGAAGGCTGCATGTTCTTTTGTTTGGTTCCAAAAGAAGCCAAAGGAAAGCACATCCATGTCAGGTTTGGTTTATCCATGGTCCATTTGGTAGGGACACTGGATAACAAGCTCGAGCTTCCCCACAAAATCCAGGGGGAATGAACTTTATACCCATGGGTAGCAGGATGATTCAGCAAGAACGATTTGCGGGGATTCCCAATCTCCCGATTTCCACAAAAGGAGTTGGCTGTACTTCACCATGAAGCATGTAGATATAGAGTCGTGGGTTGCTCATCCAGTCTTTGCAAGGCTAAATGAGTTGTGATTGTCAACAGCAGAGTCTGACCCGGAGGTTTAACATCGGGTCAAAGCATACAAAAAAAAGACGCGCTTGCCCCGGATATCTAGAGCTTGCTTTTGTGTGGCCTCACCGGACTGGTATTGACATGCTTGATCCCAGTTCGCCGTTTCAGGGTCCGTAGAAAATTCTCGAGACCCATGATCAAACATCAACAGGTGCTCGCCGGTCAATCCAGACTCTCCTGAAATGCAGTTTATCCCTCCACACCTCAAGCAGCCCACGCAAGATGCTTCGGTTTTTGTGATTCAGGAGCCAACAAGGCAGCTGAAGAGATTTGAGTCCTCATGCAATCTGCGCTGAGGGGGACAGGCTTAGGGCTTCCCCTCAGTCAACATGCCTCTGTGGGATGTCATTGGTGTGGCATGTGTCCTTGTGAATGTCTAAGTACATATGTAAAGACACATCATAATACTAATAACTCAGTTCTTCAAAGACGACCTTTTGACCTTTTGGATTTCCCAGATTGGTCCATAGTCATGGCCCAAGGTGATCACCTTTTAGCTCCAGGTCCTTTGGGCAACTGAGAGCATCCAAACGTAACTCATTTACCGTAGCTTTGTAATTCAGTGATAGCCTGTGGAATTGGACTGGAGATGAGAGCAATACATGATTTGTGAAATGAGCAGTGGTTGGAGAAGTCAGATACATGTCATCGTGATGTCATGTTCATTTCTTCACCGCGCAAGTATCTTCTTAATCAACTTCTGGATTTCTCATTAGGTGAATGGAGGCATTGGCGAATCAATCGCTTGAATCTCATCCCTCTCTGCAAGATTCCTCGGTAAGACTAGCCATGGCATATCTTCGACTGCTCCAGGATGCTCAGGCGTACGCCACCCGGCTCTTGACGCGGAGCTGACATGTTTGCCATGTCAGCTGCATGGTGGTGCATGTTTTTTTTTTTTTTTTTCCTGGGGGGGAGGCGGACTTCCGGACATCTAGATCTACATCTTTCTGGAGGGTTAAGCTCCAGTCCATGTTTTTTTCAGTGTATCCCAGTGCTTCCATAGCAACCTTTTGGATTTTTTGCCTCTAGGTTTTACATCATGGCGTCTTGTGGTTGCCTATAGTGGCTTGCCTGGAAGCTCCGGGTTATGGTGAGGGCCACATTCTGTTATGCCTCAAGCTCCGCGTCGGATGGCCCCAGGGGTGAAGGCGAAATCTTCCAAGCATTGGATCGCATCTTTGGAGGTACTTGCGAAGAAAAACAGGCAACCAGAAATATCACGGGTAAGTGCCGGGATATAATCTGAGTGGGATTGAAGACGTGGAGTTGCCCTCATGGGTTCCCAGAAAAGTGGGAAGGGCAAAGCTCCATAGGGTTTCTCCATACCCCAAGGCTTGCACCATTGGACCCCTTGGACCCCGCGCCGTTTTTTTTTCTTCTTTTTTTCTCCTTTTCGGAGACACAGAGGGCTTCGTGTTCCATTCGGCGGGTGCCAACATGCGAACCGGTTCGGTTCCTTTGGCCCTTTGGCGCGAGGCAGGAGATCATGGAGAACAGCGCCATCTTTCCGGGCGGCATCTGCGAGCATCTGAGAGGAACTGCGTCTGTTCGTCCGAGCTTTCGGAGTGCCTGAGCTTGGGGACCCCCTGCCGGATTTGTTGAAATCGGTGGGCTTTGTTTTGTATGCGTTGTGCGGGTAAAATGGGTGTGTTCTAAAGGAATGCTACGACCTTCTTTGTTCAGACTTGCAACGATTTTAAGTCCGCCAACCCCTGTCCCACCTGCATTTGTGGTTCTCTGGCTGGTAGGGAATGATGCCATGACCCCTAGAAACCAGTGGCTTCCTCGGGAACTGCGCTCATTCCACCCACCCAAGTCCAAGGCTCGGGGGGCTTGATCTTTGAGCTCGCAGATGAGTGGTGGAAAGATGGGGCTGGGAGCTCCTCGGCATGAATCCACTCGCTTCCCATCGAGTTCCGTTTCGGAGTTGAGTATCTTTTTGGGGTGAGAAGACGTTTCATCAGTGGCTAACAAAGCAGATGGTGGCTTTATTGGCCGATCTACTGGTTCGGAAGTGAGTCCTTTGGGTTGTGAGCCCGTTTTTCCTTTTGAAGGGGCTGGGTTTCGCCCATTTGAAACCCACCAAGATGTGCAAACCCAAAGCCATGTCCGGCTGGCACGGGGTGACCCGTGCCTTCTTTCAATGGGACCCCTTCCAAAATGGCTTCAGCTTTCCTGGTGAATTCCCCAACCAAAAAGGGGGTACCACCTCCAAAAAACCATGACCTCCATATGGAAACGAATTTTAATCGGGAACCACCTCAGAAGTGGTGGTTGGTTCCGCACCGAAGTAAATGATGTCCAAAGGGTCCCTAGTTGAAATTCATGCCCATCATGTGTTCCCCTCATGTCTTGGGATTCCAAATGCCAGACGGAGGTGCCCCAAACACCTCCCCAAATGCCCAAAAACGCCGCAAAGTTCCTGGGGTGTCTACTTATTGACACCTGGGCGGCTCTTTTCTTTTTTTTTAGTTGGTACCCTTTTTGGGGCTATTCAAAACTGAAATATTGCGCTCGGGTTTGGCTGAATGTGATCAGCCGGATGGCCTAAATGAGCAGGAGTCGCCACGTCCATTTCACAGCAGTTCCCCGTCCTTCACCAGAAAATGAGGCATTTCACAGCAATTCCCCGTCTTTCACCAGAAAATGGGGGGGTTGGGGGTCTTGTTGTGGAGCCAAAGACAGGAGTTTGCCTTTAAATCCCGTCACAGGATGTGGTGACAAGCCGATGTCTATCGAGGGGACCACAGAAATGTTGCCATGCCCTGAAGCAAGTGATTACTCAGTTGTTCAGTGGCACCGATTATTTTTCCCTTTTTTTTTTGTGGTGGCTGCCCCACTAAACATGGTCTTCCCCAAAAAGGGTTCCCTTGTTTTTCCAGGGTCACTGAAAACACTGAGATTATGTCCGATACTCAAATGTGAGCATCTTAAGGAGCTAGCCGCAGGATTTTTATTTTGGTTCCGCTTGGTAATTGGGGCCATTTTGGTCTCCATTGGTTTGAGCCACAGCCACATATGACCAACAACCCCACCAGCAACCGATAGCTAAAGCCCACCAACTGAACACAACCTCCACAACAGACAAAGAGCCCAAAGCCGATGCCCCAGCAATGTTGTGGAAGGACAACATCCTGCAATTGGTCGGTTGTCCCAATCTGTATTTAGAGTTTCATCCATCCCAACTGGTTGCGAAGTGAGTTTTGCTTTATCCACGGCAAGGATATATGGCTGTGGGTCAAAACCGATGGAACCATTTTGGGGCAGGTGCACCACCCATTTGAGTCTATCTTAGTGGGGATTGGGATGTTCACTGAGGGTACGGGCTTTTGACCCATGGCCATATGTGTGTGTGTGTGTGTATTTGTGTGCCTTTTTTTTCCCGAGGGTACCCTCCTCAGGCTGGCACAAAGAGAAACTAAGAGGATAGCTGACGCTTTTATCAGTTGTTTAGTGGTACTCGTTTTTTGTTTTCTTTTTTCAGTGGCTATCCCACTAAAAATGGTCTTTTTCGAAAAGGGTTCCCTTTTTTTCCAGGGTCACTGAACAACTGAGTTTCTAAAGAACATTAACACATACAGTTCCCATTTCACCGCACATGTTTGGCTGGGGTCATGAGTGTGACTGCTGTTTGGTAGGGGCCTTGAAAGTCAGGACATGGATTGATTTTCACCCTACCACCTATCAGCTTTGGGATTGGTTTGGATTCGAGCGGATCCCCAAGGCCCTGCAGCGCAGGATACGGGCGGCATCGCTCCCGGAGGCCTTCGGAGCGAGAGATTTGCTTTTTGCCTCTGTGAGAGTCGTGAGCTCACGCCCGGAGCCTTTCTTTTGGCCCCGCAGCCCTTTTTTTGCCCTTCCTATCTGTTTCTTTTTGTTGGTTTGGAGGGTTCAACCCCTAAAATTTACGGCAAAAAAAGTTGGTGCCCTGATTCGAACCTCTCCACTGGAGGACCTAGTTCGAGACCTTGGACTTGTTGGGATTGGACCAGTTTAGTGCAACCAAACAACCAGTCCCCATTTTGCTTGGCCAACCCACGACGTGAGTAGATGGGTTTGCCCTTTTCAAGGTACCCACAAAAAGACTTTGATTTCCCTCTTGGCGTCTTCAAAGCCGAACATGGAGTACCCTCCGAAAAAGGCACAACCAGATACGTTTTGCAGTTGAGTGAAAGTAAATGGCGCAATTCGTCCAGCTCGGTTGAGGCATCCTCCGTACCCACACGCAATGAATGGAACATTTGATGCCATCTACTTTCACACTCTATTTGGCATCGTGTCATGGAAGAACCCCTAAGCTGTGAATTCCCTTCGGACCACACCCACAACTCAAGATGAAACACGGCCACTTAAAGTTTGTTGAACAAGTTGTTGACTCGTAAACATTTGACATGCAGAATGCTGCTTCTCGCATTATCATGGATCATGTTTGGGCAAGTTTGGAAATCATGAGAAGGAATGCCTTTAAGGGAACAATGACGAAACAATTTTCAGAGCGGGATATAGGACCGGAGAAAAATAAAGGCAGAATAGAGGAATTTCTACTCAACAGGGCAACACTCAGACTTATAAGTGGGGGGGGGGGGGGGGGAGTTTGAGCCGGCGTAAACATCACAGTGATGAGACTAAGGCTGACAGTCAAAAGGCAGGCGACTATGTGCGTTTACTTTGCACCCAACGGATGCGATCACTTTGTGTTTGGTGGGCCCCTAATAAAGATCAAGGCATGGCATCCACAAATCAGTTGGATCAGTTGCCCCATGGGTGAGGCGTCGCAGTTTCGAAGTTGCGTTCACTTTGCAGAAGCAAATTCTGGTGGTTCGACTCCACTCTGATCCGTTGTGTTTTGGCATGGCCGCAAAAGCAATCTTCGCACAGGAGGCCCGTTCCCAGACAGAACCTTCAACGAGGAGTGGCGAGAGGCCTAGCCTGGCGACGGAGCTTTTCGCTTTTCAGGGCGCACGGCTATGGCTGGCGACACCGAAACGGGATCTAGCAGAGATGTCCCTTCGGGTGTTTTTTTTTAGCACGACAGAGAGAAGAGAGAAGAGAGTTCGTGGGTTGAGTTGGAATAGGTCAAGAGGACAACTTCGTTGGAATTTGAACTGCACTGGCAAGCGACTGAGAAATTGCAGGGTTTCGATGATCCCTAGGATCAATGCTTACCTTCCATTTGCTTAAGAGTATCTGTTATTTTCCCTTCTTGGTTTTAAATGGAGTCTTTCACTACTGGACATATTTAGAAGTTACCATGTCTTTCGATTGTGCGCCTCAAGTTTTACGAGGTGTCGCGTTTGTGAGTGAAACCAGGTGCAGCGATTTTTCGAGGGCGCTCACTCCATTTAGCTCATTGAGACCTCGCTCGAAGGTCTATTGAAAGTGATCCATTGCCTAAGGTGGATAGATGTAGGTGTGGTCTTAGGGTAATTGTACGGGTTTGACAGGGAAACCAAAGGGAAACCAACCATTTGTGCTTGCTCGTTGTTACCCTTTTGCGGTTGCTTTGCAGAAACACCAAAAGGACCCCCCCCCGCCGAGAGGGGAAAGCAAAGCGGAGAATTAGCCCTATTTGGCGGTCGATTTCTGGGGAAACCCTTTCTAAAAAGGGAAGCCAACAGGAAGCTGTTGCCATTTTCGGGTCACCAATTTCAAGAAACGCCCGCGCGGGTGCTCAGGTGGGGTTTGGTCACGCTTCATCGAGAACCGAGGAAGGCCATAGACGCGTCTAATGCACAAGGGAGAGAGAGAGAGAGAGAGAGAGAGCAGAGTTTCGATTCGATTTCCCCTTTGGTTCAAACATGTGGTTTCCTATTCAATTTGAGGCTTCTTTTGGGTGGGGTGTTTCCTTTTCAGAGGAAAGATAGGGAACGCTGGAGAGAAGAGGGTTTTTTGGAACTGGATATGAGCTCGGTTTTCCCGTTGCTTGCCCTACGATGTGTCCTGACAAAGAATCGATCACGTCCCAGTTGACTGAAGATTGTTTCCCCTACCCCCAAGGCACTACCCCCAAGGGAAAATGCCACTACACAAAGGAAAAGCAAAGTATCTGTATATCCCATTCTCTCGTGGGGCTAGTGGTTTGGGGTGGTGGTTTTTTTTTGAGAATGACATACCCTTTTTGGGTTGGGAGGGTTCCCCTACTAAAATAGACAATACCGCAAGAAGGGGTACCCTTGTTCGAACCTCTCTACTGGAGGGCCTTGAGTATATCGTCCTGGAACGCACTGGTAGGCCTACTTCACGTATGCCTCCCTCGCCATTCCGAAGCCGCAGATGGCTGAAGCCGTCCTCCGGAAAGGCGTGGAGTCGCGGCTGGAGCAGATTCGTGGCGCGAGAGTTTCGCCTATGGAGCTACCTGGATCCTCAAAGCACCCTTCGACATGGGTTACGGCCCCTTTAAGGAAGGGTAGCTTGAGAGTTTAGTTACCATGTTCAGGGCGGAGAAGCCAAAGGACGCCCATTTTGGTGGCTGATCCGTTGAAAAACAAACACAATTGAGGCAGCGTCATCCCTCTGCACATCGCGAAAACTCCCAACCGAGTCCAGCTCAAAAAAGAAACATGCACCCCTCTAACCAGAGACGACCACCATACCTTTCAGAGGCGACCAAAAAAAAGAAGAAGAGGACCTCGGCCCAAGGGGGGCAGGTGCTCCCGTGTTTCCCTTGGAAACCTCCCCTCGCCCATCCGAAATCCGCACCCCGCACCCCGAAACGGAAAACGGACAACCCGCGCCTCGCTCGCTCGCTGGCTGGCTTCGATGTTTTCAGGTGGCGAGGTGGCAGGCCTCCGCCAGAGTTGCACTCCCCAAGGCCCTGGGCCCGGAAAAATCGGCGGGGAAGGAGACACGCGACTTGACTTGACGGTTTGTTGGGTTGGATCTTTAGACTTTCACTTTTTGGTTGAAGTCAAGGTGGGTTTTCCACTAAACCCCCAAAAGTGAAACTTTTTGCAGGGGGGGTCAGCAGCAACCAAGTCTACTGACGGTTTTTGGGGCTTCACTCACTCATTAAACAGTTCCCTAAAGAGCTTGCTGGTTCCATAGGGGAATGAGACATGCAAGGAGCCCCAGGTCATGGTTGTTTGTTTCATCTTCACTGAAGTTGGTTTTAAAGTTAATGTGGGGGACCTTTGGGGGAAACCACTAAAACGATGATTTCCCATTGAATGGCAAAAGTTACCCATGGTCATTTAAGCCCCATGTGCATTTTCTGCGGTCTAGCAAAATCGGCTCCCACTTCAGGCATGCGAGGGGCGGACTGTGCTGGCCATGGGACCCCGTCAAGTCGCTTTTGCCGCGAAACCTCTGCGAATTCAAAGCCTCCATACAGATAATGTCAAAGAGGGCGCCGCGCAAGAGACGCACACAGTCACACAGACAGTCACGCACAGCCACACATACTGATACAGCAGCATACAGTATGTTCGGGGTCCTTGTTTGCGTTGGAGAGCTTGAAGAAATGCGTGGCACAAATGTGGGTGGACATGAAAACTGCCCGTGTGCATCTTGAAGAGCGCGAATGTAGGGGGGGGACCTCGAAAGTGCACATATGCATTGTCCAGGTCGCCCACCCCTTCTGAGTATGCAGGGGATGTAAATGATTTTATGATATTATGTACCGGGTGGTCGGCGCCAATCACCTAAAACCCACACTTTAGCCCAGCTACCCAGTGGTATTTGTTTGTTGGGTTCCGCACACGGGATCGACAAGGCTGGATTGATTTAAGTAAAGATTTAGCTCAGGTGGATGGTGCACCAGGTTTCAAGGGGGATTGATGGCAGTTGGAGATGTCTGGGTGTGTCTTACTCAGGGGACTCAAACAAGTGCTTGGTTTCCTTTTGGTTTCCCTGGAAAAAACCCACAAAGGGGTACTATCAAAAAAAGACGAGCCACCCATTTCTTTATGCGCAATCTGCAACTGAAGGGATGGGATTCGGGAGGCCCAGAACTCCAGGGAACGCTTTAGCTTGAAGTCAAGCATCACGCGAGTTATAACCGACCCAACTGTGACAGATGTTTGCTCGGTTTCCCTGCCGTGGATGACAAAAGTTCCTTCAGAGGAAGCCAATTCCACTTCGTACCTGTGGGAAGGGTGCCGGCTAGGAGAGAAGGAAATGCGCCATCGAGATCGGCTTGGCTGGTTTTTGTTTGCCTTGCGCTGAGGCTGTACCCTGGTTCCACGGCCATTGCAGGAGTTTTGCCCTTTGCAGGCGGGAAAAGCGTGACGGAGGGCGTAGCGTCGGATCAAGTTTTGCCATGATGGTCTCCAGCCTGACGCGGGAGTAATGGTTGGTACATGTGCAACAATCAAAACAGACACAGATATTGATATACTGTTACTATACACATACATACAAACATACAGACAGTATGCATGTATGTATGTTTTATATATATATATATATATATATATATGTACATATATATATGTATACATGTGTACATGTATGCATATATATATATACATATGTGTATATGTGATGCATATATGCTTATACAGAGATTCATATATGTATATATGTACATCTGTAAAACCCGGGCCCTTTGGTGGAAATCCTTTAGGTGGGGACTCATGTCCACAACCACCCGTGAGATGGTTCCCCTTTAAGATCATTGCCATATGCATGTGCCCACACACATAATATATATATATATGCGATCTTCGCCCATGGAGTGCTCGACGCCCCTGTACACAAATAGGGAGCCCATTTGGAGACGCCATGTAAAACTTTCCCACGAACTGGGGCCCCTTGAAAAGGACATGGGACACGGTAGCGGGGTCTCGGTTGTAAGGGATCGGTGTTAAGGAAGAAGGAGCTGACTTACAGGGCTTCCGCACATATTGTATGTAACACGAACTAGACCCAGCAGCGCAAGGGTTCGCCATTCGATGCTGCTTTGCAGTACTCCCTCAATGAATCACTCACTCGTCACACTCAAATCCTCACCTCACCTCACCTTACCTCACCTTACGCACTCATGTCACGCACCTCACTCACCGCATTCACTTCACTCACTCCCACTTGCTCAACTCATGCACAGTACCTACGAGGCCTTTTGGTTGGTCTTTGATCTGAATGAGCAGCTACTTTTGAGGCAAAACCACTTAAAGCGTAAGTAAGCTTTGAGATGCGTTGCGCAATCGCGTTTGAACTCGGCTGTCTCTTTCACTGGGAGTTGAGACAATGCACTTTCCTTGATAGCGAAGGGATCCTTCAAAGTTATATAGTCTTGAGTACACGCATTGGTATCGCGGAAAGGGTTATTTCCCACTCGTCGAAACTGTTCGCTGAGTAAGGCACACATAGAAATGTACAAGTGATCTCGTTTATTCCGATGCAGTGTATGATCTTCCTTTGTGTGTCGAATGGGCTTGCAACCTGGACACTGCCAACATGTTTCTGTGGCCACTGCCAACATGTCTTTGCCTGTTTCTTTAGCGTGAAAAGGTGTTCAAGATGGGAAGACCTTCCAAACGGATGGTGTCCTCTTCATGTCCCTTGACGAAGCACCAACAAGTAGAGTTTCTTGCAAATCCAAACGGGGGTTGATCAAAAGGTCGTTTACACGGGATGCCCATTTGGGAAAACCACTAAATGGATGATATATTGCCCACCAAATGGGACAAGTCACCTATGGTATTTGGCTGCCAGGAATTTTGATCACCCCCCACCTGGCAACCATTCTGAGGTTGGCTTTCTTCATCAGTGCAAGCCCCTTTAAGACTCAAGAGGTTGGACTCGGTTCAATCGAGGGCTACCTGCCTTGGGCGTTCAGGCGCTTAGGCGAACGCATAGACCCGGCACCAAGCGCCGATCCGCAGGGCTGCGGACACCTCTTCAAGAAGGTCCGCAGCACGGGCGAAGTTGGCGAAGTTGGGAGATGTTGCGTCGAAAAAGCAACGTGGCCAGTGCAACTGAAGAAGCAACTAGGTCCCCCAGTAGCGCCCTTTTACCCTTTTGGGGGGAGGGTTCCCCTACCTTATTCTAACCTCTCTACTGGAGGACCTAGGCAAACCGTTTTTGCAATAGGTGGAGCATATTGATCATGCTCGTTTTGGATGCGTGGAACTGATCATGTTTGGTTGTTTTGGTTTCTTGTTTCTTGGCGAGGGAGCCGTTTGACTTGGATCCTGATGGGAACCGTTATGGTTTGGAGACGCGGCTTTGAACGAGGCGGAAATGAAGCCAATCCATCGAATGAAAGGCCGCAGAGGCAAAGCCGCCTTCGTAGCCACGGCGGATTCCACGGGACAAGGTGGCTGCCAAAAATAGGGAACTGCGTTTTGGGTCGGGTGTAGCGGGGGACCAAACAAAATATGGGTGTGGGTCAAAATTAAAGCACCAGGAATTGGACCGCAGATTTGAGTCCTTGGTTCCATTTACCAGGCTTCTATTTTGGGTACCCATTTTTGACCCACAGCCATGTATATTCCAACATACGCCAAGGGGTCCTGTTGTCCAAGATACAAGTATATTTTTTGGGAGGAAATAAGGACGGCCAAGCACGGTACAGGTTTTTCTTTTCCTTCCAATCGTTTGGCTGTTGACAGGGGCAAGCTAGAATTGGTTCCCTTTTTGTGCAGGCATGTGCCCAACTCCAATAATCCAGGATGGCAACTAAGCTTTTGTTGTGTTGAAAGTGGCACCAACGGAGTCACTCGGGTTGCTGGCCTCACGGGTAAAGCCAAGTCCTGTCAGGCACCCTGAAGTCGAAACTCCAAGGCGCGAGCGGGAAGCGATCGGGAAGCGATCGAAATGGGGTTGTATAGCCGTAAGGAAAGGTGCGAGATCTGAGGTCTAAGCTTTTTCTCACTTGAGTTCATGGACTTGAAACTTTTGGGGGAATACCATCTTAGTGGCAAACAAACAGCTTGGGCTTGTGAGGTCAAAGGCACACCTTTCTTGTGGTAGGGTGGAACTCTGGGCCCTGCAAGTGTCTTTTGAGGGCTGCATTTCCGAGCCGTGCGCCTTCGAAATGCAGAGCTTAGAGGTGCGGTGCCGGACGTGGTTCACCGAGACAAGGGTTGCTTTGGAGAATTGGTCTTCCCCATGTTTGAGACACACCCAACTGAGGTAGTTTGAATATTGAATATGCATAAACACATGGTTGCAACTTCCGACCCCGAGTAGAAGCTGTGCATTAGCTGAGGTCCTGTTTGAAACGAGTGAAATGGAAGCCAGGAATCCAGGATGAAGGCCTCTTTCTGGGTTCCATGTTGTTTTTCAAGGGGAATGATTAATCATAAGCCGGAGCCATGCATGGGCCACCCCTCTTATTCGTACCAAGACTTGAGTTCTGAAATCGAAGTTGGATTATGGATATTGCACGAAGTCCAATCATGGAACAGCCTCGCACATTGGGGTGATCCTGAGCTCCTTTCGTTTGAAGGGGTCAGGGAAAAAAAAAAAATATCAACGACTGGACGCATTGAAGCGGACATCGACCATGGCGAACGCTTCACTGGACCTGGCGGTCCGAGCTGCGGTGGAGCAGGGCCTGCTGGCGCCTCCAAAGACCATAGAGGCCGCTCGAAATATGGGGTGAGGTATGCTTTCTGGGTTTTAATAAAAATGTTCAATGAAAAAAATATGGGGGGTTTCCTATTTTGACACACTTCTAAAAGGCTCCGTTATTTTTCTGTTTGTTTTGTGGATTTCTTATAGTAAATGGGCCGTTGACTCTGAAGAGTTCAAGCACCCTAGCAGACACATCCAAATCCCCCTGATTTTGTGACTCCGTTCATACCAAATGTTGGGATACCTTCCTTGCCCCCCCCTCCCACCCGGGTCTCGATTTTGAGGCATGCAAGCACCATCGGCCCACCTTGGAAATACCGGTGAACGGGATGCAACTGATAAGACCGAAATGCGTGTGGGTCAAAATTGAACCACCAGGAATTGGACCGCAGGGTTTTAGTCCATGTTTCCACATACAGTGGCAGCCCATGTTTGGGTGCCTATGTTTGACCAGCCAGATGATGCAGCTTGAACTGAGGCCTGTCACTTAGCTCCTTCCTGAGGTCTAAGCACTGGTTACTTCAGGTGCGGGAAACACTAAACGAGGGAGCACAGTCTGACAGTTCGGATGGCTTAGGGATTCCACTCGTGATGTTCCAACCCAAGTCCCAAACCTGAGGGTCAGAAGAAAGAAGAACAAAAACATGTCGATACATGCCTGCACCCTCACCCAACTTGTTTGGGCTGTTGCCCCAACATAGGGCGAGGTTTGCCCTTTTTTTATAAGGGTTTGGAGGCTCCTATGCCTCAACCGATGTCAAAGCATCGTGTGTCAAAACTCGTTGGACCCTGACATGTTCCGGCTTCAAAGATGGCCCAGAAGGTCTCCCAATGATCTTGAGCCAGGTTCTGTTTGGCTCCCCTGCAAGTCATGAAGCCCTATTGTAGGTCCACTCCTCGTCTGTTTTTTCTTGGTTCCTCCGAATTGTCTGCAAGCCATTTCATGTAGCAGCTAGTGGTGGTAAGTTCCTCATTGGTTGTTGAGTGGTTCGCGGTAGCGGACACGGAACTGAGACCGAATTACTCGCTTAGGAAACAGGAAACATCAAGCCGCATTAGAGGCTCCACTGGTGGCAACCAGACTGCCCCTGAGAACAAAACTGACAAAGTGTCTTGTTGTTCAGGGTACCATGTTTGGGTTGGTTTTAAGGGACACCAAAAAAAACTAGCCATTGTTGGAGGTTCCCCTATTTTGAGACACACCAATATTAGGATATACAACAGAATCGACGGCAAACTGCAACTTGACTGTTGCAACGGGAAGCAGTGGGCCAGTTTTCCTCGAGACGAAATCAAGCCTCTAGACTTTTGTTGAATCTACGGCCGTTAAGTTCGATGCTTGCGCTTTGGAAGCTAAGACAATGCTCTTCGGGGACGTTCTTAACTGTTCTAGGGGTTGATTATTTTTCCATTCTTTTCAACCATCGTTCTTTCCAAAAACCGGCCATGTTCCCTGGGTTTCCGGAGGTTTTCTAGAAAGATTCGGATCACTGGAAAGGATGGGGAAGGTACCCCTAGAACTGTGTACCTCTCAGACTAGCAGCTTGGGGGGTTCGGGATTCAGGCAGCCCTGTTTATGCTGTGGATCGACAAAGTCTACTTTGCACCAGTTGGGATTGATGAAACCCAAATTCCAATCTGGCTTTTGTCCATCATGGGTCTAGCGGGGCATTGGCGAGTGGAGGAGGGGGAGCTAGTCTATGATCTTTAAACAACATGTTGGGTCCACGGGGGGGGGGGTTAGCCGGGAATTTGACAGCCTACATCTCTGCTTGCTCGCATCTTTCTTCACAGCTTCAGCCATTCCAAGTTCGTCTACATGTTCGCTTGGGCGTCTGTTTGCTTCCCAGTAAGAGAACCAAGTCGCGTGAAGAAGATCGTGCTCGGTGTTCAACAATTCAAAATTCAATGGCCAACGATCAGGCTGCAATGAAATCTCAAGCACGACAGCCGCAGTGGGATCGCCTGTGAGAGCCTGTGAAGCCACTACCAGCAAACTGTCTAAATACAAGGGCTAAATACCAGCATTGCAGATAAGATGAAACGCAGGGGTGCCCAGCCAAGCGCAGCAGCAATATGAAGCATATGGATGCGATTGCCCTCCCGGTAAGGGTCCGCATGAGCCCGGCGGACTGCGTGATAACTCTATACGAAAGCAGTTCACAACTCACGGAAACATTCCCCCCCCCCCCCACCCCCCCCTCCCACCCCCCCCCACGCCAACGAGAAGGGAAAGCCGGAAAAGGCAACAGGCGCATAATCAAGATGTTGATGACTGAAAAAGAAGCAAATATGCGATTTTCCCGGCTAAACCCCCCCCCCCCGTTGACGCAACATGTTGTTTGTCGTCCTTGAGCAGTTGCTGAAACCCATTTGGCACCCAGCTCATTGTTACCTGCACATCCACTATGATATTTAGTGTATCTCCTTTCAAAAAGGTGGCTCACCTTCAAAGTTGTTGATACTTGAAATTCTATGGTCTATGCTCAGCTAGTCTAGTAGACCTAGACTGTTGGTTTCCCAAGCTCTCAAAGCCTTCCCCATCGGCCTGTTAACAGGACAAGCCCGTGGCCTTGTTCTACGACCTCAATCTGTGGGAGGCCAACCTCCGCGCGTTGCGAGACGCCTTCCCGGAGCACTGGCGCCTCGACGAGGTCGTTGGTTTTTTTCCTCGTTTTGTTTGTTTGTTTTTCTCTCGGGAAAAGTGGCACGGCGCCTTCCCAAACCAAAAGGGTTTTTTTTCTGCGGGTCCTTGGGGAAAAGTGGGAGGTGTGGGGACAAGATGAGGAGACCTAGGTTACGCATGTGTTTTTGCGCCCAACGGCTTATGGGCCTGCTGGCCATCGGTCGAAGTAGGGAGGTCTAGGTGCAACAGTTGGATTTGGGTGTGCATAAAGGGGGAGGTTGGGGAGGGCGAGGCTCGGGCAAAAATGGGCAAGCTTGCAGAAGAACAACTCCATCTTGTTCCCCCCCCCCCATTTTTCCACGCCTTCCCAGAAGGGTTTCCCCTTTTGTTGTCCTTTTGTTGAGCACTCCAAACATGGTACCCTCAAGAAATGACACACCCACCTGCGAGGTCTCCAATTTCAACTGCTGTGGCGCTGGCTTCCTCAGCTTTTGACCCGTCTCCAGGGGGCTACCAAATGGAGTAGTCAGCCCAACCTTTCAAGCCCCCTGAAACTTTGCCTGACCCCAAACTCAGGAGCTTCTCCGACCTCGATGTCCGCTCCAGCTCCTGGGGCACCTCCAGAAAACAGGTAACCGGTTTATTCGAGAGCCCCGCCGAAAAAAAAGAATGCGCCCGTGCCTATCGCCTCTCCCCGCACCAAGCCCCCAGTCCCCCGCCCCCGGACCCAAAATCCTCCCTCGACTCCCCGCTCCCCGGACGCTCCGGACGCGTCCGAAGCCCAAAAGTCGCAGGCTCCACGCCCTGGCGCTGAAGACCAACCCCTTGGCCGCCATGCTCCGCATCGCCCGAGACCTCGGCTTCGGCGCCGAGTGCGCCTCCGTGGGGGAGGCGTTCTGCGCATGGGACGGTCGGATTCGAGACCGGGAGCCGATTTTTTTGGTTCGGTCGGTTTGGAGCCTGGGGCGAGGGTTAGTGGAAACCACCAGTACTGTAGATGGACGAAGCTCTGCACCGAAGCAACCCTGGTTTCTGATGAATCTCCTGCAAATACCCATTCAAGGTGGCGCAGGATTTCGTCCATCCACAGTAGGTTGGTCAACTTGAGATGGGGCATCCGGAGAAAGAAAGCAAAAAACGGGAAGCGAGTGTTATGGAAACCACAAGTGGGGCATCGGGCAAAACATGCGCGGAAGTCAAGAGGAATGAAACAAAACGGCAACCTGGACAGTGACACGGACATTCCCACGAAAACTGAGCTTGGGTTCCCTCAAGCGGGATCCGATCGCCAGAAAGGAGCATCATGGTGTGCAGCATCCGAAAGGAACCCGCTTGTATATACCCAACTTACAGGCATCAGAGTTGATCCAGCATGTTTCCCTGCCTCTGGTTCACTTGAGAAGCTACGTCCCAGCAGTGCTATGGACAAGTGCATCCAAGAATGTGTGGCCTTAGCACGGGGGGCCGCCAGGATTGGTACACCACTTTAAACATCACCTTACGAAGTGGACACTCATTTCAGTATGATCCAACTGCAATCTCTAAATCACCCCAAAAAAAGACCCTGTTTGACATCGTGTTGCTTGGTCAGTGTCTAATCATTTCTGAACGCTGCAGGGTGTCACAGAAGTGCACTTGGCAGGTGGCTGATGCTGTATCATAACTCGTTCTGAGACTCCATTTGCAAGCATCTGTCCGTCCACTTGGTACAGATTCAAAAACATGACTTGTACCTTGACTTTTCTACATCCGTTGCCGCTGAAAGAGACGTCAGCGGATTGATTCGCTTCACGTGTCCTTTGCCGGCCATGGTTTTCCCTTGACTTCTCACAGTCGAAGCAGGATCTAAATTCGTCCCCCTAACCTAAATTCGTCCAATTCACGAATCGTCAACCCAAAAGAGACGGTTCCCTTCTTCTACCGCTGGGAAATGTTCGTGTTGGCGAGGCGCAGCATGGTGAAATTCAGCCTTCAAGTTCTTGAGCAAACCAGCGAGTGAAATCAAGACAAGGACCCAAGAACCCCTAAGGGATTGAATCCCAAAAGGAGATTGAACGGAAGCTGAGTCATTGTTTTCGTTGTTGTTTTTTTGTTCCCCGGCTAGTATTAAGACAGCAAATCTGGGCTTAAGGGCTTTTCAGCTTAAATTAGTTCGGCCCCATGTGTGAGTTAAAAATGGGCAGGTAAATCAACCATAGTGGCACCGCATGTTTGGGGGGAACACTTCCTATGATCCAGCTTGTGGTTATCAGTTTGCCGTTCACTCACTTGCCATGAGGCAATCTTGACTGCTACTGGGTTGGATCTTTAGACTTTAACTTTTTGGGAAATAAAGGTGTTTTCCACTAAACCCCCAAAAAGTTTTTTTTTTTGCAGGGGGGTCCACAGCAACCAAGCAATCGATAACTTGGATGTGTAAACCACAGACCATTCGGAAGACTTGGTTCGGAAAAGTCGGGAATGAGTGCCAGTTACTGTAGAAACCCCTTGGATGGTTGATGGTGCAGCTAAGGGTCGTTCCCTGCCTAGGAATGAGATCCAGTTAGAAACCCCGTGGATGGTGCAGTGATCCTCTGGAAGCGGACGTCAGGCGGTCCACGCCCTGAACCAAAGCTTCGCCAACGAGCGCGTGGTCTTCGACTCGCCCTGCAAGACGCGGCCAGAGATCGAGTTCGCCCTGCGGAACCAGGCGATAGACCAAAACAAGTTGAGCTTATGCTGTGGATGGACAAAGTCCTGAGAACCTGGCATGCTGATTCCTCTGCATATTCCAACAAGCAATGGTTTCCATGGTTTCTTTGGTGGTGAAGGATTTCGTCCATCCACAGTACGGGTGGCATGTGCTGAGGATTCTTTTCTGGGGGAAAGCGGGAAAGATGGATATGGGTGCGTGTTTGTTCAGGGTCCTATTTTTGGATCCCAAAGGAAACCTGTCATTTCTTGGCTTCCAGGACTGCAGTTTATGTCCGGCCGGTATCCAAAAGGCAGTCGTTCGCCTGCCTTGTTGCAACTCTGTCTCTCTAGCACCCAACTTGCTGTTTCAAGCACCAGAATCCCCCAACAGCCCGAAGCCCAAAGCCCGAAGCGGCTAGATGGTTTAGGTCCAGGGTTGTGGGATCACTTGGGGTTTCTCACTTTCAAGGGAATCCCCCTTTTTAATTCACAAGGTATTTTTTGGGGAAGCCCTTTTGGTGGTATCACAGAAATGGATTCCACTCCCCACAGCCCTGAATTTAGGTCCATCTCAACATCGACAACATGGAGGAGCTGCAGCGCGTGAGCGAGCTGCTCAAAAGCGACGAGGAACTCCTCAAAAGTTTCCAGGCCGGCGGCGAAATGAGAGACACACACCCAGCAGCACAACAACTCAGCGGTTCAGTGGCACCCATTCTTTTTCACCTTTTTTCAAGTGGCTGCCCCACTAAAAATGTTCTTCCCAAAAAGGGTTCCCCGTTTTTTCCCTCACTGGTGGGTTATGAACGGGCACGAAGCTATGACTCTGACGTTTCATGGGGCACCCTTCAAAATGGTTGGTGGACAAACACATGGTACACTTTGGTGCATTTTGACAAGGGATGTTAGGGCTTTCACTTTTTTGCCAGCGAATTGATGTTTACCGTGAAGCCATTAAAAATTGAAAACATTTGAAAACTTTTAGCAGGGGAAGAAAGCAACCGAGAAATGTGAGAGTTGAGTCAGTTTCTGTCCTTTTGAAGGCAGGAGCTGTTGGACTCGCTTTGCCCCTCCAATAACAAAGACCGGACAAGGCAACGAAGCTTCTTAATCCCGCGAAAAGAAGACGTCGTCCGCTTAGAGAAACCAGAAGGAGGTTGTTGAACCGCAATCCCTGGACTGAGAGAAACCACAAGGAGGTTGCTTTGAGTCAGTTGTTCAAAGGGGGTCATTCGCCGAACCCAGGACTCGAAAGGCCTCATTGGTGTGCGCATCAACCCTTTGGTGGGCGCAGGCACTCGGACTTTTCGGTCGCTTCCTGGGGTGATGTACGGGGGAGATACGAGTATGGGACGCTGTTCTCTTGGTGGTTCCCAGCCATCCCCGAATAATTTTAGGTTTTAATAGTAGTTTCCATTTTAACCCGCAAAAAGTTAAACTTTTGGCAGGGGATCTGAGGACAGGCCAGTTCTGTGATGTCTTTCGAGCGCGGACCGGACATGAATGCCATGTCCAACACCGCAGGCACCATTGCAGCCTTCAGTGTGTCCACGGGCAAGTCCAAGTTCGGGAGTCTTTACCTAAAAGGCATGCTTTGTGTTTGGTTTCCTAGACATGTTTAGCTCAAGCATGGACTAACTGAGTTTTAGGTGGGAAATGGAGACCATATCTGGTGTTTTCCTCCTTTTTTTTGCGATGTTTCAGGATTTTGTCATTTTATCGCTGGAGGGTGTGACCCCAAACGGTAATGCCCATATATAGTCTTATGTAGCTGGCATATACGGCAAAACGCTATGATTCCCGATTTTGGCCCTCGGGGCACACCCGAAACTTTTCGGGCAAGCGACAAACGCGCCGTTGATAATGCAAATATTCCAGGGACTTTGCTTTTGGACCCCCCACACATGTCTCTTGGTTTTGAATCCCCAAAAAAGCAGGTTGAGGATTCTGGAAGCTTTGCCTTTGGACCCCTCGACTCAACCCGGTTTTTGAGAGAAGACCGTCTCCCGGTCTCGGGGGTCCCAAAAATGCAAGTCACTTAGGGTCCAAAACGTCGGGTCCAAGGATTCCGGTGCGTCCGGATGCTCGTGCCGACTTGGTGGCCCAGCTGGTGGCCTGCGAATGGGTCAGCTGCATCCACGTGCACACGGGCTCAGGCGGCATGGGTCTCTTGGCAGCTTTGGATCTGCGGCTTTGAACTTGGGAGCTGTGTTGCCGTCAAACTTCCATTTGCCGAAATGAATATATATATATATATATATATTTCCCCCTGTTGGTTTTAAGGGAAATGATTTCACTACTGGATACATGTTTTTTCCCAGGGGTCTTTGCTATGAAGCCAAACCAACGAAATGCGACTAGGTCCCCCAGTAGTGTTCTCTCCCCTTTCTTGCGAGGAGGGTTCCACTAAACTAGACTAGAGAAAAAAAAAAGTTGGTACCAACTTATTCTATCCTCTCTAATGGAGGACCCAGGCGATTCACTGCGTGATTCTCACCTTCGCAGCGTGCTGCGCGCTGCGCCCAGGCCTCTCACAGCTGGTGAGCGGCGTCCGAGTAGCGGTTGACCTCGCCATAGACATCAACCGAGAAGCTTGGCGGAGAAACCATGCGAAGTGAGTTTTGTTCCAAAGCCACGGTAACTCAGGAGCTTGCCGTTTTGGCTCAAATCCCCTCATTGGCTGTGTTTTGGAAAGCTAGGGGAAACGACGCTGACAAGTTGGCAGGTGCTGGTGAGTTTTCCTTCGAGTTCCCTTTCACTTCACTGTTCTTGGCAAGTGTGTTGTGTGTGTGTGTGTTGTTTTGTCCTTTCATTTTCAGAAGAGGACTGCAGAAAACAGCAGGTGTTTTGCTACTCAAGTATCTCGGACCCTCAAAAGGCTCTTTTTGAGGTCCCAAACCTTCCCATGGAGGTCCGAACCTCCTCAAGGGAGGTTCCTGTCTGATGCTTAGTGTACCTCTCGACTCTCTAAACCAAGGTTTTTGTTGGTTGGTTCTCTTCATTGTTCTAGGAGTTGATTCCCCATTCTTTTCAACCGTTTTCAACCATCGTTCTTTCCCAAAAAACGGATCCTTTTTTTCTGGGTGTCCAGAGGTTTTCTAGAAAGAAGGATCCCCGGAAACAATGGAAACGGAAGGCACCCTGAGAATTTTGCGCAGCTGTCTGATGCTTACCTCTCGACTCTCTAAACCGCTTAGTGTACCTCTCGACTCTCTAAACCAAGGTTTTTGTTGGTTGGTTCTCTTCATTGTTCTAGGGGTTGTTTCCCCATTCTTTGCAATCGTTTTCAACCATCGTTCTTACCAAAAAACCGGATCCTTTTTTATTCTGGGTGTCCAGAGGTTTTCCAGAAAGAAGGATCTCTGGGTTCAGAATGGAAATGGGTGGTACCCCTAGAAACATAACAGCCGATTGATACCGTGTTCTCTTTCTCAAAACCGACTGTCGCTTCACATATCCACCTTACCGAAGGCACCCCTAGGTACTCACTTGCCCAAAGCGAATCGACCTTTTGAAACCTTTCGGCTTTCCCGTTTTGGCCACCATTTCTCGTGGAGCCAAAAGGTGAACACCTTTTATTTCTGGGTCCTTTGGGCATGCAGTTCATGGCACGAGTGAATGCTCTTGGAGTCCCGCGGAAGAAAAAAAAAGTGAGGCTCGCCCTATTTGCGAAGCCACCGCCGGTTTCTTGATCGAGATCCGAGGCGGCCGGGCGCCCGGCGATTCAGGTGCTGGACATAGGCGAGAGATTTTTGCATCGCCAGCGAATCCACGGCTTGGCCCTTTTCTTTGGTGCATTTTGCCAAGGGATGAGTGTGTGTGTGTGTGTGTGTCTACTTTTCTCCATTGAATCGCTGAAGGTGCTCAACTTTTAGCAGGGGAGCAGAAAGCAACCGAGTTTTGACCTTTTGGTGTTCCTTCCGTTTGGTCCATCATCCACCATTATGTTGGGGCTGTATGTTCCATGCTTCAGTTGGTATTCTGAGGGTCCAGGAAAAAAGTGTGTGGCTTTCTGGGGTCCAATTCATGGTCGTTGTTGGGACACATTTGACATTTTTGCTTATCGTGGCTTAGTGGGAAATCCCCACTTAACAGCTAGAATTTGAATATTTGCTCCCCTTCCAACGTCAACCAAGAATTGGAGCGTAGGCGGCGGGCTTTCAGTGAACTACGCCAGCGACGAGATGTGCCCAAGCTTCCAGGAGTACTCTGAAGCGCTGCGGAAGGAGGTCCCGGAGATCTTTCAAACGCCCTCCGCTGATTGGACGAGAAATATGGAGCCCGAATGAGCCCGAGTTTTTCTTGGTGTGTGTGTGTGTGTTGTTGCTGGGAATATGTGGTTCCATTTGCTGAAATGAATCTGTGTTTGATTTTCCCTTATCAGCTTTAAAGAGAGTTTGTCACTGGAAGTTTATCATGATTTCCAGGTGGCGAAAAAGGAAATGGAAGTCTGTGTTTCCCTTGTAAGGGTCCAGAGAACCGACGATGTTGGGGCCCTCAAAGCTAGGACATTTTCTCACCCAGTGGGGCATCTCCGAGCTGCCTGTTTTCCCGCAAGGCCACTGGAATTCGGGGTTGCATTTTTTAATAATTGCCTGACTTTGTAGAAACCACCAGGAAAATGGCAAAGACGGGAGATCTGTTGATATGTAGTGGCTACCCGTCATGATATGGCTCAAGAAAAAAGTGTACGGTCGCCCGCGCTGATTATAGGTAGTTCTCACCTTTCAACAGGTTATCAGCCGTATCGCTGGTACCTTGTACAGTCAGCTCTCTCACCCGCGCCGCCATGGCGTCGAGCGGCGACGGATGCCACCCCGTAATTGCCAGGATGAATGAAGCAGTGGCCAACGAGTTAATCAAGGGTGGACATCCGCCCTTGAAAACAACAAAGTTTTGAGGGAATCGAGACCCTCAGGGTTGGCCAAGTTAGTACAGGGCTCCCAGATGGAAATGGCTGGGCTGTTTAATTGGAACAAGTGAAGGCATCCACAACTGTGGGGCTTGATATGTGCCATAATGGTAACACAACACCTTTACTGTGGGTCAAACCAATGGTACCATTTTGGGGCAGGTGCACCACCCATTTTAGTCTATTTTTAGTGGGGATTGGGATGTTCACTGGGGGTACGGGATTTTGACCCATGGCCAGTTTGTCTTGGAGGCACATTGCAGTCGCAGCAGCCGTGGATGAACACGCCTTTCCAGGACATGCCACTTGAAATCCTGAAGTCCAGCAACGACTGCCTGTCCCGACCTCAGAGGCCTTTGCTTCAGGCTTGGAGGAGTGTGGTACATAGTATCTTGTTTTCCTCAATGCTCCTCCGCAAAGCGGGGGGTGTTGATATGTAGTGGCTACCCGTCATGATATGGCTCAAGTAAAAAGGGTACGGTCGCCCGCGCTGATTATAGGTAGTTCTCACCTTTCAACAAGATCGAACTTCCTTGACGACAACAATACACCTGAAAACAAATTGGGCTTCAACTTGCAGCAAAAACAACAATGGGGGGCCCTTGAAAGCCATCTTAGAGTACTTGGACCCTTTGCGTTTCTGGTCATTTCCCAATTCCTATCAAAGTTGGACTCTACACTTGGTTCAACGCCAAGTCGGTAGCCAAAGTGTCGACCCTTTGTTTCCGCTCAACTTAAGCAGCATCGAAAGGGGGATGCGCATTTTTTCGGGGACCTCAAAAAATGGCTTCGGCGCTCTTCTTTGGTGCCCTTTAAGTCCACTACAAAAAGGAGTGCCACCTCCAGAAAAAAGACACCCTTCCATTTGCTTCAGAATATATGTTTCTTTTCTTTTCCCCTGTTGGTTTTGGAGGGAATCGAATTCAATACTGGACACATGTTGATTTTTCCCTGGGGGCGAAGAAGCAAATGGAGGCACATAGCCCAGGCCGGCGGGTTCCGGGTGGTCACGGAGTTTGGCGCTGCCAGCCACGTGAAGTTTGGATGGCTGGCCTCGCGCGTGGAGTATGTCAAGAGAAGCGACCAGGGCCAGGTGAGTTCGGTTGGGTTCTCGTTCCAAACGCCCTTGGGAGTTTGGACGGTTTTGTTCACCATGGCTAGGTCCCCCAGCTAGGGATGACCAAAAGAGGATAGTTTTGGGATGGCCTTGGGGAAGTGAAATGGGTTGTTGCGTAAATCCCTTTGTGCAACAACAACAATTGTGGGGAACCACCTCCAAAATTGGTTCACGCAATCCCCATGTATACGATGTGCAAACAGGTCCAAACTTAAAACTTCCTACCCGAAGGCTCAGGACGCCTTCATTTGGCAGTGGCTCAAGACTAGATACCCAAAACGTGTCAAGTGTTGAGGGTACCCCCATTGTTTGGTCTGTGTTTCAATTTGAAACCCAAAAAATGCCCCAAAAAAGACCGGCCCATGTTGCGAGTCCCCCCCCAAAAAAACAATCCAGCCTATTTGAAAGCCCACTTGAAGCCTCCTCCCTTCGATCAAGTTTTTGGATCCGGCTCCATTTTTCGCAGGTGGTGTTGATCCACGCGGGCTCGGAGCTGTTTCTAAGGGCCTGCTATCAGAAAGACAGCTTAGCGCAGCACCGCGTCCGCGTCTTCGACCGAGAAGGCGAGGTCTCGTTTTTATGTCAGTCTGCGGTTCACTGAACGACCGGATGGCGAATCAGCAGGTTTTCTTGGAGGTTTCTATACTTTACCCGTTTTTTGTTGGAAACAACTCGGTTCTTCAGTGGCACCTATTTTTCCCCTTTTTGTTTGGTGGCTGCTCCCACGAAAAATGGACGCTTCCCCAAAAAGGTTTCCCTTTTTTTCCATGGTCGCTGAACACCTGAGTCTCAAATGCGGCACTGCTTCGGGATTAGTTGGGGATGGACCCTTGAAGCATTGAGAGCGGCGGCTCATGGGGGGGTCGGTTTTTGCATGGTGTGTTTCGCGTTTTTGGCGTGTGCCCTTCTGAAAGCGATCTGGACAGTTCTAAGGGTTCCTTTCAACGGAACCTGGACCACGACCCACATGAGGCTTTTGACCATGGCCCCAACAATGACCCCAAAAACGGCATTCATCAAAAAACCCTCATATCAAACATATGATATGTATATGTAGGTATACACATAAGTGTGTATATATATATATGTATATACAGATTTCCAAGCTTTCCAATATACACATATGTACAAATATGTCCGACATATGTTAGATATGTGTATATATATATATATTTCGAAGTTGTCAAGCAAGGCGCAAACCAAGACACACGGAGGTCGGCCACGCTTGGGAGAGGTGGAGGTTCAAGACGTCGGGGGGCCGCTGTGCTTCGCCGGGGATGTGGTGGCCAAGGACGTTGAGGCGCCCCGGATCTACGGCGAGGACGTGGTGGTTCCTTGGACCTCGTTTGGGAAACCGGAGCTATTTCCGTTTTTGGAAGGCGTCCCATATTTTGGAGTCCGCTGCATTTGGACTTGCTTTTCACCCCCCCCCCCCTCAAAGCGCCGCACCCTCAGTGCACTTGGCAAGCCGTAAAGACAAGAAGGTGTCCCACATCTTTTTTGTTTGGAAGGTTTCCCGAGATTTGTCCTTTTGGTTAGAAGGCGTCCTAGATTGCTTTTGTTTTTTGGAAGGTGGCCTGGAACATCTCCTTTTTCTTGGAAGGTTTCCCAGAAGTTGTTTGTTTTTTGTTGTTAGGACGGCTTCCCGCATGTGTTTCTTTTGCTTCAGATTTCCCAGAACATGTCCACTCTTTGGAACCTCGAGTGGCGAGCCATTTGGCGGAGGTTCGCAAAAATCGGGTAACCCCAAAATGGGGCAAGCCCCGGTAAACGGAAAGGAACCTCAGCGATTTCAATGGACACCGCCAGTAAGTCGTCCAACCCCCGATCTGGGGGAAGTGTTGTGACTGTTCATGTTCTTACAACCCTAACAAAAACAGGCAGTTGGCGTCTTGGTTTCACCTTCAACGCTTTTGGGACACGATTTACTCCTGCCACGCAGCTGAGCTGTTTCTGGGGTGGGTTCCAGGTTCTGCTGGACAGCGGCGGCAACACCTTGAGCCTGAAGACTATGCACTGCAGCCGCCAGCGCCCGGCCGTCTACGGCTTCCGCGTGGAGGGCACCGCTGTGCACTTCGAGCTCTTGAAAGAGGCCCAGACCATCTCGGACACGCTGGCCATGTGGTAGACGCACCCTGCGAGAATAAAAGAGAGGAGCGACCGAACTGAGCTGAGCTGTGGTGGTGTCGTTTTGGGCGGCAAATGGTTTCTGAGAGAGAGGAATCTCGGTGTTCAGGTGCTGGGCATTGGCGTTCTTTGTGTTGGTACGGGCATGTTGCACAGGGCAGAAGGCTGAACGACGTAACTTCAGGTTGATCCAAATTGAGGCTGGAAAGGTCGGCCGACTTGCCGCCGAATTGCAGACGCAGGCAGATGCGCAGGACCTTAGTGTCCTTTCATTACTTGCTCGCCTGCAAGTAAAGCTGCACGAAAGGAGGGAGGGAGGGAGGGAGGGAGGGAGGCAGGCAGGCAGGCAGGCAGGCAGGGAGGCAGGGAGGCAGGGAGGCAGGGAGGCAGGGAGGCAGGGAGGCAGGGAGGCAGGGAGGCAGGGAGGCAGGGAGGCAGGGAGGCAGGGAGGCAGGGACGGAGGCTCAGAGGGATAGAGTTGCAGCAGGCACAGATTGCACCAACGCAATTGGTAGGCTGTGTTTTCCGAGCATGTTTGAGGGCATGCCAAAAAGAACCAGCCATTTGTGGGACACATGTTCCATTTGAATCTACATGACCCAGCCAGCCCTGCAAATCAACCAGCACGCAAGTAACATATTTTCCTGAGATAAACCACACCGAAGTTCTATGTTGGGACGCACACAAATGACCTCAAGGGTCAAGTCGTGTTTCACACTTATTCAGGTTTGTCTTGGTTGAGGTAGCCCTTTTGCTTTGTTTTCAAAGGGAAACCAAAAGGACAAACAATGATTTGGGGTCCCTTGATATTGAGAGCCAATTTCAAGAAGATTCTTTCACAACCTGCCGCAGAGGGCGCCCTATCTCGTTGGTTCTACCCCTCGAGCAAGTTGTCCTGCACAAATAAGTCTCGCATTCCAAAAAGAGTACCATTGTTCGCAGAAGCAGGCTACAGCACCAGGGCACCGCAGGTTTTAGTCCATGTTTCCATTTACCAGGGCTTGTCCCATTTTGGGGTTACCCTATTGACAACCGTCTTTGTGCGCGCTGTGGTTGCCGGGAGTTTTCTGCGTGAGTCAGGCGGCAGGCCATGGAGTTTCAATGTGAGCAACGAATTGCGTAAGATTGCAAGGAAAGGTCCCAAGAGATGGCATCAGAATGGACCCGCTTCTTGGTGATTCCCAGCCATCCGATTTCTTAGCTTTTTAGTCGCTCAGTGTTAGGGTTTAGGGCTTAGGTGTTAGGAAGTTCCATTTCACCCACTAAAAGTGTTCCACTGCTAGCAGGGGATCTGAGGCCAGCCGAGTTCCTGGCTGGGTATTTACAGGGAAGCCAAAAGGACCATTCTAGGACCGTTATTTTGGGAAAGCAGATGAGATTCCATCAAAACCGCCTTCTACCGGGGCAAGAGCTGCCGATACGCCAAGAAGTATCCTTGGGACCTTCCGGTTGTTGAACTGTTGCACAGCTTTAGGTGGACTTGCAAGGACGGATCTAGTCCGCAGCGCGGAACACTAGCTCGGCTGCGCAATGTCCCTGAGTTTTGTTCTGTAGTTGGCACCTTGCCAGAAAAGTGCTGGCAAAGCAGATCTGCACATCGAAACCCTCCAGTCAACCCCTTCCATTTGCTGAAATGAATATGTTGTTTTGTTTTCCTTTGTTGGTTTTAAAGGGAATCTATCACTACTGGAAACATGTTTATTTTTCCAGGAATCTGAAGCAAATGGAGGACCCCATTCAGTGGGAGAGTGGCGGCAATGCAAGGGATGATTTGTGTCTTTGTTGCCCCCAAGGTCGGGCTGGTCTCTCAGAAATCGATATGCGGATCTGTGCGCTGAATCCAAGCGAAGTGCCGGGTCCTTCACATGCATGCAGGCAAAGCCTTCATGTCAAAAAAATCCGCAAGTACTGCAACGAGATGCGAGATCTGACCAAAACCTATGGAAGTTGTGATGCTGACATCGCAGACAACTGCGGCGGAATTCAGCGTCCTTACAAGAAGGGGGCTAACGCGTTTTCAAGATCAGGCAAGTTTGAGGCGATTGCGCAAGTTTTGCGCAAATGTGCGAAGGGCATGCGCTTACAAGCAAAGCAAGACCTCGAAGTTGCAAGTTGGTTTGATGGCAATCTGGTTGCTTCAAGAGTTGGTGTTGTTTTTACTTCGAAGTTGCAGCAGATTCCTGTGATGAATGCAAGCAATTCATTGCAAAAGACTCGCGCGCCTTGCAATCCGTCGCGCTGGCTTCTCAAGCATTCAATGCTCTTAACCAAAAAAGCCTTTTGTGTCCGAGAGGTCAAGAAATGAAACCAATGAACGAACCCTCCTTTGTTTTATTCGATTTCCCCCGCTCGAATCGGCAAGACGATACTCCAAATATGGAGTTTCGAAGCTGAAAGAGGGTTCCTTGCGTCTTCCAAGTCCCGAAACAGGCTCGAGCGATCCCAAGATTTGAAGACACTCCGAGTTGTACCTCTTGAAACATGGCAGTGGGCGTTTTGCGAGACTTCCTGTCAGCGAAAGGGATTGGTCTCACATTGATATGTTGATGGGAGGGTAAATCCAATCCTTCGAAAGGGCTTGGGGAAAGACAAGAACCGGCAACATGTTCCCCAATGTTACTCCTAATTTGGGCCAAACTCCTCCCGAGGGACTGGTTTGGTTTCGGGAGAGGGCCTTCTTGGCGATCCCCGCAAGTTTCGTTGGCTTCTGGTGGAATCCATTTGTAGATTCAATGTGGTTGGTCTTCAATCAGAGCATTTAGCACGTATTGAAAGGTGCCCAAAGATTAGAGGGGTCTCCTTGTGGATACCTTTAAAGTATTGGCTGGCAGTCGGCTGGAAAAATCCTGCGTCTTTAATCAGAGGGAGTTTATGAATCATGTGCCGACACTCTGCGTGTTGCCAGGAAATGTTTCACGTCCATCGTACTGGTAGTACCTTTTGACGCTCTGTTCGTTCAAGGATCAGGGGCTGACCTCCCCCTGCCCTGGGGATGGTTTTTGAAGGTACTGGTTTGGCATGGGCGCTGGGGTAGGAAGCACGTACTGGCTTGAAGAAGTTGTCGCGGATGTTTTTCTTTTGTACCATTGTTCCTTACTAGTGGTGCAAGTGGGCTAAGCACCTTCGCACCGCTGCGAAGGCACTTGCGCAGTTTATCCTGTTCACAGAACTACGCTGGTACTGCCGGCCAGCGACGCAAGCGCTGGCAAATCAGCGCAAGCGCAATCAGCTGAAATCAATTGGGCAGCGCAAGGGCAAGCAAGCAGCAGAACCAGGACAAGCTGAGTGCATGAACGCACTCGCAGCCATGTGTGACTCTGTTGCACACACACACACAACTGAGTGCATGTTGTGTAGCAAGTGCTGTCAATGTCACTGCCTTATGATTCCTTGCGCGATTGAACGGAAGGCTTTCGATTGACGGTGACTTGGCGAAGACTCGGATTCCGTGGCTCAAG